GAGGAGAGAAGATGATTTTTGGGGAAGCCATCCTTTAATGTACAAGAAAGGCCAACTTCTTTGTGGGTCACTGGAGTAAGAGACATTTTTATTTACTCTTCTGGTTTGAATTCTTTGAACAGTACTTGATACTGCTGCCATGATTATTTTTTGTTGTGCTTAGCTCGTGTTCTCTCAGTTGCTTTTTTCTTCTGTCACCAGCCATGTCAGTCAGTCAGTCAAGCCTCTGCAGAAACTTCAAGTTATTGTCAGTCACTCTAGTCCTTCCTCATTTTCAGAGCTTTGGCCTCTCATGGATGCAGGTGTCTCTCTGCATCTGCAGAATTCTCTGTCTTTTTTGTGTCAGAGCTTGTGAATTGCCACCATCACAATTTCAGGTAGATGGGAGGATAAGAAAATAGCCAGAGAAACTGAAACTAGAATTTGGTTATGAACAACCACAAAAGATGAAAATGTTGGGATAGTCTTTTCCCATGACAGAAAAAGATTTTCCTGAAAAAATGGAGGAGTCACGTTTTTTTACTGTGTCTGCACATGGATGTATCCTAGGATAAGCAGCATGAGGATTTATTCTGTCTAACTGGTACAGTGTTGTGACTTTTTGTTCTCCACTGAACCAAGTGGATAAATGGAAGTCAAACCACCCCATTTGCCAGCTAAAATGTGATTTGAGCTTTATTCACCCTTTGCAGAATATTCAAAACCAACCTTTGTAACAGTGCTCTATGACTAGAAAAAATCCCGGTGTATTGAAGTGCGGCCATGGAGAAACACAATGCCACTTGAAGTGGTGCCAGGTTAATGAATGCCTTCACTCTGAAATCACTCCATGTTTGCAAGGAGACCTGTGAGTCCATGCAGACAGGGACAGCCCACAGCACATGTGGCTCTCTGTCCATGCTGATGTGCAGCTCAGTGCTGCACAGGTCTGGGGGGGGAGTGGGATCTTTGGCTGATTAGAAACATCTTGAATGCATCAAGTGCCGTGTGTGCATGTGTGTGGGCAACGTGCCCTGGAGTCGGTGGAAGGAGAGCAATTCCTCTTCCCTGCAGTGGATTCATCTGGCACAGCGGAGGCCAGAGTGAAGAACTGTTCCCTGGAACCTACCCCGCGCTCCTGCTTCCTTAGCTCCAGGCCATTGCTCCTTGTCCTGCTATCTTCTGAGACCGGAGAATTCCCTTCCTTCATTTATATTATTACCTTGAAGGTATTTATAGACTGTGATTGAGGCCCCCTGAGTCTTCTCTCTTTGAGACTATGTAAGTTTAGCTCCCGAAGTCTCTCCTCACACATCTTACCCTCTAATTCCTCTATTGCCTCTTTGTATTTCTTCTAATATTTTAAACACTTTTCCTAAACTCCAAGCACCTGAGCCAGCTGTAGTGTATCGCTAAGCAGGGCAATGCTATTAATGCCTACTTAATATTCACTTTCCCTGTAACTCATCCAAGACCAATACTAGCTTGTGCCCTTGCACATAGTATTGTATGCTCCCATTTTGTCTACTGCTGCCAAATGTTAAATCCTTTTTTCTGCCATGGTGCGTATCTTACACCACTTACACTACAGTGTTTCGTGCTATGTTTATAACCATAATTAATGATTTATGCATTTTTTTTCTTACTGACCTCAATTTGCTTTTTATACAATTTTTTTTTTTATTTGACCTTAGTGGATCCTACATCTTGTCCACACTTAGGTAGGCACAAGGTGGCCTAAAACACTAATGACTATGTCCACCAATATTGAGAGGTGACTGTGTAGTGACACATACATGTCACTTGTCAAAAGCAATAACAGTTTTATCACAAATACTGGGATATGGTGTCTACGAAATGCAAACACATCAATGCCAGTAAGAATTCACCTGCTAAACCACTGCTTTGCTCATGGGTTTGATAAGTTGAGGAGCAGATATTGCTATTGCAAACTATGAACAAAAAGCTGAAGATAGAGGAATGAATCATCACTTTCTTTAACCTGCTAGTCCAGAAGCTGAGTATTCAGTGTAGAGACCTGATTTTCCATGTTACTGGTAGGTCTTAGAATCTTTCTTCCAGTAGGATAAGAAAAATATCATTCTGATATTGAACAAACAGCACTGTGGATCAGATGCTGCATGAGAATTGACCTTGTAAGAGAAATGGTGGTGAGCACTGATATTTGGCAGGTTTCCAAAAGGAAATGTCCTAAAGGATGCCTGCATGTGCAAAGGAACAACATTCCATTAGGGTGGAAGCAAGCATTCTTCCTGGCTACTACAATCTCCAAAGACAATGAGAATGTGGATCGACAAACATTTATGGTACCAGGTTTGTCACTTCACCAGTCTGTCAGACTGTTATACTTAGATGCTGATCAGTTGGTATAGTAGTCATTTAAATAACTAGATTAAAAAAATATGCTTTCTCTAAATGTTTTCTTCACCTTGCTATTTGTCTGTCAGCATGAGATCATTATCTCCTGGCAAGGTTCTGTTCCATTGACATTATCTCTTAATTATATTAAAATGAAAGACAGAAGAAAAATGAATATTTTACTGTTCAAGAATAATTTCTAAAACTATAATTTAAATTTAAACAACTGTGTCAATAAAGCAGAGGGAGGATGCTCTTCAGACTCAGTGTAATTACTGCAGTAAGGAAAATGGATTAAGTTTCTTAATCTGGTAAATCAATCCTCATAAAAATGGCATAAGTTTTATAATCCCCCCTGTCTGAACCTGCTTTTTTCATGGCTGCAGGAAGCTGATGAAGTTTGGTAGATGGTCACTGAAGTGGTTTCACTGGAATCTCTTGGGCCAGGCATGGTGGGTTGGCCTCTTGGTTCACGTAGGTGGCACCTTGCATTACTTTCCATTGCCAGTGTGAGCCAGAGGAACCCACAGCCTTTTTTCTAAAGGCTGCCCAGTTTCCATTCTAGCAGCTCCTGCAATTACAAACCAAATATTTAGGATAGTCATTCCAAGGAATTTAAATATTAAATAGGAATAAAATACAATAAAATTTAGAATTAAATTCCTCCATACAAATGACATTAATTAATATGCCAAAGTACAGACCTTTCCTGTACCTTTAACTATAGGAGAGTTATGATGAAATTGATCTTTTTCCTCTTACTGTGTTTTAAATCCTGCTCATTACTGGCAGTGTCTGGGTGCAGCCACCCTTTTAATTGCTGTTAAATGCAACCAGAAAGAAATTTGTATTCATTCCTCAGAAGAAACCAACGCTACAGGGGTGTGCTTGAATTGTGGGTGGAGAAAATGTACTGTTTAAGAACTGGTCATGCTCTCATAATTAGAAATGAATTGAGTTTTGCATGTAAATTAGAGTTGACCAACCTCTTTTTTAATTGTGAATAATACTGTGTTTTCATAATTCTAGAACATGCCCTTTAAATAGAGACTTAATTCAAATTACAGATTAAAAATTATGTAAGCACATGCCTTTCAAAACATTTGGTTCCCCAGGTCAAATGGTTTTCTCCCCTCACAGTCTCAGTGTTAGCTGTAGGGGCAGAATCCTGTAATCTGTCATGTTTAAAATAATATCTATAAACTGTGCAGGGAACACAGGACATAACTTTGGATCGGTCTCAGTAAGTGAAGCTTTCATCTTCTGCAGAGTTTTAATTAATAGAACTTTTTTCTCAGATAATTTTATGTAAAAATATTTTCTTCCAAACTCTCTGCCACCTCCTTCTGGTTGGGTCTGAAAAAGGAGTGAGGATGAAAATGATTTTTTTTTTTTAATCTATTTCTTTTTTAACAGAAGCCATTTTTCAAAACAGCCACCCACTCTGTTTCAACACTAATGGCTCCAAAATGTTAACCCACACTAATGGACATAGCTAATATTCTCTGTGAGTCAAAACAGTTTATTTCCAGGCTGATAAAGGCTGTTTATTTGTCAGTTTAAGGTAAATTCTTCAGTTTGGATATCTATAGCATTAGAGGTTCTTACAGTTATTTCCAGCACCCCTGTAATGATCGTAGTCTAATATTGATGCTTCTTTACATTAATTGGAAATATGTTCTTAATGCTTAGAATAGGCAGGTGCTACATAACTAAAAATCCTATCTATGTGTCAAAGTCAAGGAATCCTGAGGCAGGTCTGGGGTGTGGAGAGGGAATTTGTTGTGTGTGAAGCGTGGAGAGAGAAGGAAGAAAATCTGGTCTTAAGTAGCCATTTACTGCAGTTAAAAATAAATTTAAATATTCAGAGTCATCAAACTAGAAAAGTTTGAGCGGTCATAATGCATGTAATTTGTAGGAGACTTTAAAAGTACTTTAGATATATTATAACAGCACTTACCTTGGGTGACACCAGCAAGCTGTTAAACATCAGTGTAAGACATTAGTAGGTATTTTCAACTGAATAGCAGAACAAATACGTTGCCTACCTTATCAGTGTACTGCTCCTTACATCGACAAAAGGTGAGCAAATACTGGATTTTATTTCCTTTATTTTCCAGCATCAGTGTGACAGCAAGTGAGGGATTTTGGTGTGAAGGCAAGTGAGGCAATTAATTTCAGTTTGTATGGGTTGGGAAGCCACCAGACCTTTACTCAGTGTTGCATGTGGAGTGGGTGCTGTAGTGCTTGTTTAAAAGCAAAGCAAAGATTTACATTTTCACATTTTTTTCTCATGCAGGTCTCCAAATCCCTGTGGTTTATGAAATTAGACCCAGTTTTCATGGACCTATTTTACCAGGTGCTTTATGCACGTTAAACCCCACAAATGCTATAGAAGCACAGTTAAAAGATGTTATACAGAAATAAACATTCTGCTGTCTACAATATCACTTGCTTTTTTAAAGAAATAAGCAAACAAAAAAATAGGCTTTATAAAAACCTTCCTGACCCTGCACAGCCCCCATACATCCTCAGCCATGAACGAAATCATCACTGTCTGAGAAACTCTTTTGGCTTAAGATTTTTATTCTTCTGCATTTGTGCTTTTACTTTTCTCACAATTTTTTTGTGAAACTTTATCCTTGCAAAAATGAATCAAAAACCTAGAGCAACTGCCTACACTTAACACCCTTGTCAAACCTTGAGAAATTTGATTTCTCTAGTTTTTACTTTCCTCAGACATAGGAAACCTATCCCTAGAGCCTTGGAGTCTCTGGTACCTGTGCATCTGGAAAAGGGTGACATTCTCTGAGGAACTTGTCGAAGTCACAGCTCTTTTCATAATGGTCACTACACAAGGTAAGTGGATGTGGTTTACACATGAATATACTCTTCCCAGGTAACACCTGCTATGGATGAGACTCAGCTCGGACCTACAAGTTACTGCTCATCCTTGATGTTTCTTTGGACTTAGGAACTGGGATAGAAGGAGGAATGGTGGAGATTCAGGCTAATTCCTCATGAGAAGGTTTTTTTAAGTGATAGCCTATGTATTGCCGTGCTATGCTTGTGAAAACTGCACTTACTTATTATGGTCTGTCCTTAAAAACATATGCAAGGCAGCAATTTTTTTCTTAATTGTTGATAAAGGTAAATGTTTAGCTTTTTTTTTATGATTAATTTCATTTTTCTTTCCTTCTGCTTTATCAGGTTGTCATTCAAGCTCCTTAACAGTCTCAAGGACTCTGTTAATGTTAAGTGAGAAGTGTCACAACTTTTCGTAAGTTAGCATTCTGCAATTACTTGTGATAGCCTATGTATGTTTGTGAGAAAAATAAAGATTTGTCTATTTTCAAGTTAGTTGAAGCTATAACCAGTGCCATTTCTATGATTAAGACAATTAAGATCTAACCATGGTTAGTTAGATCTTCTCTTCCATTAGATTTTATGTATATGATAAATTCAGTTAATTCTTTTTATTTCCCTCTTCCTTTCTTTCCCCTCCAGTTTAGATGTTGAAAAGACAAATTGCACATTTTTATTCTACTCTATGCTTAGAATAACTCACTGGTAAAGACACTCGATGTCTTAGCTATTTTATTGTCCAGCTGGCCTGTAACAGTCCTCACTACAATCTTCTAACTCATGCCAGCCAGATTTCATAAAGGTGAGGAGAGGAGGATGATCATTTCAAAGGTAATTGAGCTGCTGAGGCAAACAGGTCCTGGTGGTGATGAATGGCAGCTGAACGATAGTGGTTCTACCTAATGGTAACATTCTCATCTCAAATTTAATATTAACAGTCCTGTATTAAAATGGCTAATGATGGTTGATTTTAGAGAGAGTGTTAGATAGTTACAGGATTCAAAAGAAATAAACTGACTTTTACTGTGTTGTGCCATGGGCGGGTGTCCTGGCAACCAGACAGAAAGTGTTAACTGAGCAGTTACCACTGTAGCAGGGCAAGGTCTACTTTCTCCAATGGGGGCAGTAGCTTAACCATTAAATTAAGTTTAATTAAGTTGAGGGCAATTGTAAATCCTTTACTGTAGAAAAGCATTTTGAACAGGGAAATGATTTAAGCAGCTACACTTCTGTTTGTGTTGTCTCACAAAGGTTCCCAGTGTGTGTTTTCCACACTGAAAACTTGAGAGGCTATAAAAGCCTTCAGTGTATGTACTGGATTATAAAACGTTTTTCAAAATAAATTTACATTGTAAATGCTTTTTCTACTTTGCATCCTTTCTGGAAACAAATTTTTAACTTTTTATACAATCAGATAAATATATTATCCCTTTATCTGCAGCTGAATAACCAAAAAGCAGCATTTTGATGGAAGAATCTTTACTACTGTGGGGTACATAACAGATTTTCTTTTCTACCTGTTGCTTGGTGTTTAGAAAACAGCATGTGGCTGCTGGTCATGATAAAAGCAACATTTTCTGCATTTTTAGAGTCCTGTTTCCAGAGAGATTTTAAGAATTGCACAAATGAGCAATTATATAGATGTTCAGGGTGATTTATATTTAATCTCTGTATGTTCAGAGTGGACTACAAATAACAAGTTTGGAGACTTGTTACAAATATGATTGGGACCAAAGGTACAGCACAGGCAATTTTTGTGTCAGAGCTGAGCCCTCGTTGACTCAGGGAAAAGAGAAAGAGAAGAGAAAAACTAACTAAATTTTAGGTGTGGAAGAGGTATAGTAGAATATTTCTCTCTTCTGAAAGCAGAAGTTGGAGCTTCTTTCATGTCTAGTGAGGGATGGTTTTCTCCTAAGTTTGCATTTTTTTCCTTGTTTGAGCTTTATTTTAGTTTTTCATCATCTTCAACCACTTCAATCACAACTTATGTAAGTAACCCCCAAAAAGATAGGTTAAGGGTAGAAGAGACAGCAAGGTGGGAAATCAGAGGAACTCTGAGGCAGACTGGGAGGAAGTGCAAGGAGCCCCTCAGCAGGTGTTTCCATCCCTGAATGCTGTCCTGCAGTGCTGAATTCAGAGCCACACACTCACAAAGCTGTGCAGTTTTGAGGAGAGGTTGGCTGCTAGAGGACACAAAGAGAAGGGAGGCATGTTAGTGGTGTTAACATGGTAGCTATTGTGGAGTGGAACAAATCATAAAATGGCTTGGGTTGGAAGGGACATTAAAGACCATCTATTTCCAACGCCCCTGCCATGGGCAGGGACACCTTCCACCAGACCAGGTTGCTCAGAGCCCCATCCAGCCTGGCCTTGCACACTTCCAGGGATGGGGCATCCACAGTTTCTCCGGACAACCTGTGCCAGGGCCTCACCACTCTTATAAGTGAAGAATATTTGTATCTAACCTAAACCTGTTCTCTTTCAGTTTAAAGCCATTCTCCCTTGCCCTGTGATTACATGCCCTTGTAGAAAGTCCCTCTCCATCTCTTTTGTAGACTTCATTTGGGTGCTGGAAGGTAATTGTAAGGTCTCCCTGAAGCCTTCTCCAGGTTGAACAACCCCAGCTCTCTCAGCCTGCCTCCATAGGAGAGGTGCTCCATCCCTCCCATCATCCACATGGTCTCCTCTGGACCTGCTCCAGCAAGCCTGTCCTTCTGGTGTTGGGGGCCCAGGGCTGGGTGCAGTACTCCAGGTGGGTCTCAAAGGTGAATGTTTGCAGAAATGCATTAAATTAAACCAATTCATCTTTTGACACAAAGAAGAATTATTCACCTACAACCATCTCTCAGGGGAATGTCAGAAATAAAATACACAAAAATCTGGATTCACTAATCTTGTGCTCCCCGGGACTTCAGGTCATCTAATACCTTGATGAAACAGAGTAGCTCAAACAAAAGTGCTTCCTCTGGGATGTAGATATCTATAGCAATGGACTTTTCCCAGAGCTGTTGGAAGATCAATGAACTAACAACTGTGGGATATGATGTACTGAGAGCAGCGTCATGGGAGAGACTTGTGGCTTTCAATGATTATAGAATATGCTAGATATCAGACCAGAGAGATTAAATAATATATTTGTTACTTAATGGGAACTTAGCCACACTGTTAAAGGAAGGCATCATTTTTACAATCTTACATGGTATAGATTCTTCAAACACTTCACAAGAAGACCTGGTAGTGAATCTGCAGTTCTGGTTGAGGTGACCATTAAGTACAGAGGATGAAGCATGGGAAAACACACTATAAACAGGCTTCATTAGTAAGACTTTTTTTTCCATGTTTGTCTTCTGATTTAAAGTAAAACCTTCTGTAAAAGCCACGTACGAGGAAAAACCCAAAATTCAGCTTTTTGTGTCATCGCCAGTTTGCTGCCAGGAATACAAATCAAAGACTTGGCACCTTAATTTTCCCCTTTAATTTATAATTGTAGTCTGCTTGAGCCATATGTGTATGCAACTTCTCCTGCAGGGAAATAACCTTTTGCTTTCAAGCAGTCACTGAAGGGAAGTTTAGTGTGTCACCCCCAGAGAGCGGGTGTGGGCAGGGTGCTCCCCACAGTCCTTGGGGCTCAGTGTTCAGCCTGGCTTCCCACCAGAGCTGGGCTGGGTGGAGGAAAGGGAGCCCACACTCATGTCATGTCCCCCACCCCCCTTCAAATTTCATGAGCAGGAGGTTTAGAGCAGGAAGGATGGAAGCAAGCAGGGTTGGACTGGGTTGGCTGTTGTCTATGTCAGCATAAGCCTGTATGTCTTGGGAAAAGAGTGGATTCCACATCTTGTGCAGAAGAGATCAGAAGAGGGAGATGGGCTAGAGGGGCTTGTGCCTTTCTTTAGGAGGGAAGATGGTAGGAGTGCAGAGGGACTCAGCTGAGAGTTGGGCAAGGGGAGCAGGCATCTCTCTGGGTGCTGGTGGTGTAAGAGAAGGAAAGTCTCAAAGGGGCTGGGGATCATGGCTTCATATCCCAGGCACAGGGCAGCTCAGTTCTTGCCTGCACACCTTTAACTGTCATCACTGGGCTTTGAATTTCTCAGGGTCAACATCGTTAGCAGGAGGAAGGAAGCAGCTTGGAGATTTGAGAGAGCTCACAACCCACCCTGGAGCACTACACATCTGCCCAGGCTCCTGCACCCTTGTGTGGAGTGTTGCTGCTGCCAGTGGTAAATACAGAATATACTGGTTTGTTTCTCATCTGTTAGGAGGGGAAATTAACTTTTGACTGTGGTGCTGGAAAACTTTGAGCAGCACATGACATACAACCTTCTCAGTTAATAGGTGGAAACAAAAGTGGTTTTACTCTCCTAAATGATGCCCCCAGAGGTCTGTGTGCCTCTGACAATGTAGTTAAAGCTGAATGGCCACCAGTAAAAACTGACTTTCAGGAACTGTAAGTAACATGATGGCTGGGGCTAATCTTTAGTCTTGCCACAATTCTTATATGGGGCCTCATCCATTTGAACAGCTACAAGAGCATCTTCATGTCCATATTAAGATATAATATGCGACCTACTCCCCCACCTTTGTCCTTCAACATTCTCCCCCACTTTGTTTTCTTGGAGGATGAAATAGCAGCTGAAATATTGCTTCTATAGTTAATATACCTGGCTACAAATATGGCAGTAGCCTATAATTTAATTTAGGAAAATTAGAAGGCTATTTCTGACCCAGCAACATTAGAAATTGAAGTCTATTTGTCACCTGCAAACACAGAGCTCAGACAGCAACAGTGCAAACTTCTTCATATTGGTCCCTAGGGTGATACTAATGTTGGCTGGGAGGAAGATAATTCATTTTGTGGACCCTGTTTCAGAGCAAAGATTACCTACTGTGCTTAATTGTGTGCCTGGTTAGGAGGACATTGTATGGCTGGGAACAGTGTTGATGCTGATACACCTGTGATCCCAGGACAGAGATTCAGCTTGCTTTCAAGCTGAAGAATTGGCACTCATAGTTCTAGCAGAAAATGAGAACAAATACCAAAACCCCATCCCCCCAGCATTGCAATCAAAGAGTTGTCCAGTCCTCAGGTGTGATGTCAGTATGTACTACCAAACCACTATGGACATTTCACCTGCTACCTTGTAACAGACTTGTAATAACATGTATCAAGCTGTAATTTGCTCATTAAAAGCATCTAGAGACAGTTAATTTACCAATTTTTTTTTAATGAACTAAACATGGATTTGTCTACTTAGAAATTGGTGTATATTATTACTTGCTCTTTCCGAATTCTGGCTCAAAGAGCCACTGTTTTACTAAGAATTAAATACAGCTATTGAGTTTTGTACTTGTTATTGTGGTTAAGAGCGTGTGTAATTAGCAAACATTACATTGTGGTACAGTGTATTTTGTTGGTAGAATTGTGGATGCGTTTTTCTGATGCATATTTGCAGGTGTAATTCATTATCTTTCAAAAAATTCATCAATAGAAGTATTTGTAACTGCCCCCTTCTCCATGCGCTGACACAGTGCACTGTGGATGCCTCAGCTCTGGAAGTCTTCAAGGCTGGGTTGGACAAGCCTTTGAGCAACCTGGCCTAGTGAAAGTGTCCCTGGCAGGGGGGGTGGAATGAGATGATCTTTAAGGTCCCTTCTAACCCAAGCCACTCTGGTCTATGACTCCAGCTTCTGGCCCTATGAAAAACTGTTTTCCTTTACAGTTTTCAGGCCTGTAGGCTGCTGTCCTTCAGGAAATACCAGCATCTACTGAATTTCTTGGAATCTGTCAGCTTTGGGTATTGGTATTTTTAAGATTGTGTACTTGTTCAACTTCAGCTCAACTTTGAGTGTTTCAAATCCTTTTAAGCATAGACTGATTAAAATAATTTAAAACTAGTGCTGTATTTATTCAACAGTTTTGTGAATGAATAAATAAAGGAAAGGATTGCATCTTTATTAGCATGGTGAAGAATACTGCTTCTGTGGTCTGCATGTTGTGATGATTTGACTTTCTTGGAGCATAGCTTTTCAGAATTTCTTGCAGTTTGGGTGATACAGACAAGGTTTACAACTTGACTGTTGCAAGGCTGAGTGTTGTCCAGTTTCAAATGACCTGTAGCCGGCCTTGTGCTTCTGTTTTGCTAAATGAAAAAGCTTTCACCAACTTTTTCATTGCAACTGAGTAAATTGCCAAAGTAGTAATTAGGCTGAGGTTGGATCCCGTTCTCTGACTTATAGCATTGCCTCACAGAGAAGGTAGCAAGGGAATTATTTACCTTTTAATTGTAGTTCTCTGAAGGTGGGAGTCTCTATGGATTGATGCTCAGGGGGTCTCAGCTGTTGTGACCTTGGGTACTGAATGACTAGATTAAATGGTAAAGTTTAGAACTGGTCATAATGAGTTAGTACAAAAAGATGCCTTAAGGGGTCTATATGGCATATCATAGCCCCTAACTCCCAAATCCTTTTCAGACTAATTATAATAATTAGAACTTAAATAGGAATAAAACCCCAGCTCTCAGGGGGAGGTGGGAGGATGAGTGTGGCTCTAATAGCGGACACCACGCTCAGAGAACTCAATTATAAGCAAGTAATTTTCTTCTCTCCAAAAGGTAATTGGCCTCTTCCACATCTCTTTTCTCACAGATGATGGGGGAGAATTGCATGGAGAGGGTGCTTGCTGCCAGTAGGATCCAGGATTGCTGGTTAACGTGCAGAAATGAAAACCAGCAATGGCCTTAATATCCTCTTGGACTAAAAAGAAATGTCCTGAACACTACAAAATGCCCAGTAGGACACATATGGAAAAAAACATTAGGGTACAGTAGGTGGATGTATTGCAAGCATGTTGTCTTCATCGCCCTGGAGTTAGATGACTTCCATACAAATCCAGAACAGGAGCAACTCTTAAAGCTTGTTGTTGCATTTCAATATCCCATTATTGAGACCATCCCACAAATAGTGTTATAATTTGGCTACATATTCCTCTGAGACTGCCAGTAGTGGCCAGTTAGTTCAAATGTGGCAGCAAATTCATTATAAGCAGTACAACTTAGGTTTTGCATTTTTAACACACATAGTTAAATTCCACTTTTTTACAGTTTTAGTTGAGGACCTTCACTGTAAGGTGCTGCCAAGAAAAGAAGCTGCAAGGATAAATCTGTACACCCCTCTTCTGCTGCTGTTTTTCCTTCTCTGGCCAGGCCACTCCAAGCAGCTCTCCAACCTGGCAGATGTACAACTCCTGAAGGATCTAAGTGAGTAGAGGTTTGCTCCTGCAAAATTCAGAAATACTCTGCTGATATTCAGTTAAGTTTGAGTGGGTTCTGACCCTTCAGAGTGTTTGGGACCCTTTATAATTCAGGAAATTGATTTACTGGGATGCTGACTGCAAATCTCTGCTGTATAGGTTGTGGATAACACCGGTGGAACAAACCTGTGATTGAAGTTATGAAATCATATAATGTCCTGCAGAGGGCAGGTTACTGGCCAGGTTGCTATCCTTAATTTGACACCTTTCTAGTACCTCTGAGATTTGCTTGCAGTTAGTAAAATGCATAAAGTTCTAGAACAGAAACATGTGGCTTTTAGTTTTAAAACATTTTGTAACTGACTGATTTCATCTGACAGTAGTCTCAGCACAGATAGCAATTGTTTACAAAACCAGATGTTTTTATCTCATATTCTATAATTCTTTACAGTCGGGGGAAAATAAATAAACCAGTTTCCCAAAGATGTATCTTTATATAATAACAACAGACTGTCTTCACATTCTGTGTGGTCTCTGCTCTAAGAGCATTAAAACTCTAGATGTCCAAATGTCTACATTTTTAGGGACTTTTCAGACAAGGCAGCAGTCCTTTTCTTCCAGCTGCCTCCAAATCACAAAGTTAATGCTCACACACATTTCTGTCTGCAGTGCATTTAAGGTTGTACCTGAAAGTGCAATTACCCCAGGAACCCCTTGGCTGGAAGATAAAACTGATTGTTCTCAGCTTTCCAATAATGGGTAGAGAACTGCACAATGCTGTGCATCTGCAATGGACTCTGTATTGCTTCTTGCATCAAATATTGGGAAACTTTTAACTAACAAATCTCCGAATGGTGTTTTTAACCTCATTGGTGTTCAGCATCTGTAAAAGCTGTGGTTGCCATAGTAGCAAGTTGTTGCCTGAGTGATAGTGTTCTCATGATGTCATCAGAAAACAGCCTGTTCCCAGGAATACCTTGAACTCCATATATAAAAGTGCTGCCCTCAGAGTAGTTCAGCACGGAAACAATAAGAAATGCATGTTTTTATATTGTTATGAAATACCTCTTTTCTGTGTACTGGCACATCTTGACATCTGTGGTGGAATTTTTAAAGAAAACAGTAGAATTGCTTTGAACTTCTTGAAAAAGGGTTATTATGTAAAATGTGTGTCTGACAGTGAGTGTTTTTTACATCAACCACAATGGTTACGTGCCTGTCCTATAGGCTGGCTATTGTTTAACTGTAGTGTTTCATTCTATGTTGGAAGGTTCATAGGAGTTTCTTAACTCCATTCCTGAAAGAACCCCAAGTTTAAAGCTTAGTGATGGTTTATGCTTTTCTGTTCTCAGCACTTGACAAAGAGTACCCTTTTCCTTGACATATATTTCTATATAGAAATAATAGACACTCTATGAATTGTCTCTTTTTTCTAGGCTGGATTCATATGTGGTAAGTAGCAGCTCTGAGATGGAGGATCTGAGACAGCACACACTGGTGTGGGAGTGGCAGCGAGGGAAGTTGCTGTGGTCCTCTGTACTGTACAGTGCATTTCTGCATGTCCTCATCTTATATCAAGAAGTTTTGAGTAGAATGAGTCGTGTGACTGCATTTACAGCTTTTTCTATTGCATGGCCATGCATCCAGGAGCCTTTACATGGCCCACACACATATGTAGAGTGACCGAGCATCTCACCTGGACCATGAGAGTGTTCACTGAGACTGTTGCTTTCTGGCTAACTGTACCAGCTCTGGTTGGGATAACAGAGCAGGTGTGTACTGGCACAGCTACTTCTCATACCATGAAACACCTGCTCTGTTGTTAACCTGGCAGGTCAGACTATTCTAGTGTAGGGCAGAACTCTTGAGGGGTCCAGCCCCCCGTGTTTAGGCTGAAGAACCCAGCCAGTTCTTGGTCTCTCTGAAACTGCTAATATTGTATCAAAAGATCAGGTATGTGCTGCAAAGATATTGATTTAATCTTTGGAATAAATTATTTACTTTGTTGTGGGGATGGTGGGACATTGTCCCAAGCTGCCCAGAGAAGCTGTGGGTGCCCCATACCAGGAGGTGTTCAAGGACAGTTTGGATGGGGCCTAGAGCAACCTGATCTAGTGGAAGGTGTCCCTGCACGTGGCAGAGGGGTTAGAACTAGGTGATCTTTGAGGTCCCTTCCAACTTAAGGCATCCTATGATTCATTTTAAAATACACTTTAAATTAAGCTTTTGAAGACAACAGAGATTGAGCTATGTAGATGGTGAAACGTAGTGTTTGTAAGGGAATGTTTGCACTGGGTATGTTTCACTCTAAGTCAAGCAAAATATTTTGCAGAATCTGTTGTATTTATTATCGACCTCACTGCCCCTTATAAAATAGAAAGGATTATTGTCTGCAACTGAAGGTTAGGTTTGTTTGTTTGGTTTTTTTTTAAAAAAATAGCTGTTAAAATTGTGTGATGATAATGAAGAATAAAAAGATTCTTCCAACCTCTTCTTTCTTCCAGAAAAAAAATGCTAATTGGCCTGATCCGCTTTTTAATAGCGGCATTTATTACCTATTGAGGCAAATAAGTTTGTTTAATTCCCATTTACTTTTATTCCCTTGGAAGGATAGTTCATTTATATTTCATTTCATGTAGGACACTCTGGACTTGAGCTGTCTTGTAGCAGAGAGAGCTGGAGAATGGAGCAACAACTGTATTATTGAAGAGCTCCATAGCCACAGACTGGGAAAAGCATGATCGGATGTGATTTTCAGAACAGATGCCCAAGCAGAGTTGGCAGTTAATTAAAAGCACTATGTACTTAATGATTAACTAATCACAGCGTGATGGCATTCAACGGAGATGCAAGAAACTTCTCTGCTGGATTCAACAGAGAAACTCCTAATGTCTGCCTTCAGGGTACCGTACTTACAGCCGTTTGCTTTTGCATTACCAGCAGAGACAACATGAGCAGTCAGTCTGGCAAATTTCATTAAGCATTGCTTAGCTAAAACTTTAAAACCAGAAAAGATGAGCTTAGTCAATACTGTATCAGCTATACCTACAGCATAGCATGTCTTTAGCAAAGGTATTTCACAACCATATTGTCAAACAAATGATTGCAAAGCACTGTGAGCATTTAATCATGTTTCACGAGGAAGACATACTAAGTATTATTTCCATTCTACCAATGAGTAAATAAGGGGCAGAGATGTTACATGACAACTGATATGTCTGTAAACAACAGCCTGGAAAGGTCTGGATTTTCATCAGCAGATGATATTTATTTTCTTTGCAGTAGAATTATAAAATCATGCTTATAGAGTAACACATATTCACTTCAAGGTTGTCTTACTCTCTCCATTTTTTTTTATTTGCTTGTTTGTGTTTTTTGTTTGTTTGTTTGTTTTTTAAAGATTTACCCTCGTATTCATTTCTTTTGCACAGGACGTGACACTTTTTTTGCCTAAATTTATGTACAGCACCTAGCAACATAAGATGCTGTGGTGTGACAACACAAATAATTACGATATTGCATTTCTGCATTTCATAGATTGTGATCATAGAAAACCCAGTTATGTGCAAAATGTGATGCAGAAAGCCAAGGCATTTTCAACCCAATTAGAAAGCAAATTTCTAGGAAATCTCTGGGGTGATTGCTTTTTTGTCACAATTCTGCTTCATGGTGTGGATGCAGTCCAGACAATTAGAGCTAGAAAGGAGAATGACAGTGGATTTAAAAAAAAAAAAATTACAGTTCGAATTCAGTGATGATACTGAAGAGAACATTTTAAAATTATTGTTACAGATTGCCAAAGATAATTGTTCCTGTGTGAGCATGTTTGGCAATATAAAATGGCTTCTTCTTCCAGCAGTGAAGTGCTCTGCCTGCATGTAAGGATGTCTGGGTCATACTCCTGACTTGTGTAGGCTGTGAGTGCAGGATATTCAGCCTCTGTCCTCTTTCTTCTCAAATTTGTGGGTAGCAGTATCTAATATGGGAAGAAATGGTTGGAGTAATTAAACACGTACACTGTGCACAAGAGGTTCTTGGCTAGAACAGGCTATCTCACCCAACACCAAGGCAAATTGGGACTTATTCTCTTGATACAGTTTGAAGATCATTTACTTCTCTGCAGTTAGATCTAATTGAGGGAAAAAATAGCATTTATTACCTCCAGTGTCCCTTTTGCCATGGCCAGCTGGTGTGCACATACTGTGCTTCAGTGTGAAATCAGCTTTTCCCAAAGCAGAGCTTTTGGAAGAATAAGCAACCAGCTTTTCTCTTTCAGGAAATAGGTAGAATAATAAGACTGACTGGTTGCCCCTGTGGTGGCAGCAGCCATTCTGCTCGTGTTCCCGTCAAGCAGGGTCTGTGCCCCTTCATCACCCTGATAATCCCTTTTGCTGTCACTCCCCTGTGTTGCTGCTCTGACTGCCCAGTCTCCAGCAAAACAGATGAGCAGTGAGCTGCAGGCCAGGCACAGAAGGTAAAGGTGTCAAGTAGAGGTCCAGTCTCTTGGTGTCTGATGAAAGCCAGGATGTCCTTCTCTGGATCCTCGTGGCACTGCTGCACTTTTCTGGTGCTGCCGCAGACAGGACAAATTTGTTCTGCTCTGCGTGCCACCTCGTGGCTGCTGGCATGTAACTCTGCAGAGCTGAGACCCTGTCCCGGGGATTTTCATGTGCTGAGTGGAAGACATGGACAGAGCAGCCCAAGCATTGTTGATCGCTGTCCAGAAGCCTGAAAAGGTGAAGCACTTGTTAAACTCCCTCATCCTTCTGTTTCAGGTCCCTTGTTGCACTGTGGAGAAGCCAGTGCAAAGTACCTAAAAGTAAAGATGATTTTAGGATAGTCATTACTAAAGTCAAGTTGTTTCCAGGCCCCTCTCAGAAGAGGGTTGTCCCCAGGGCTGCAAGGCTGTAGCACAGCTATGGGGCTCAGAGGTGGGAACACTGCAGGACTTGTGCTGCAGTGCATGAATCTCCAGATTTTGACACCTCTTTTAAAAAGGGGTAATAGCTGTTTTCCCCCCATTCAGGTAGTTGTTTTTCTATGAAGAAAGACATCAGCAGAGATTGACCTGCAATGAGCTTGCCAAGAGAAGTTGTCTGTCTCTATTAAGAAAGCAAAATAATAGCTACTGACCGAGTTAGAGGCAAGAAGGAAATCAAATATTGGCACAAACTGATCTGACAGTACAGCTTCTTTGCTGCTCTGAGAGGAAAAAAGAATAAAAAAAAGTGTTGCTAAAGTGAATGTGCTTGTGCTTTCCACATATAAGAAGAATATAATGTCCTTGTTTTCAAGGTAGAAAAACAAAGGGAATAAGTGCAACACGAGCAAAGCATGAAGTGGCTCCTCTCCATGGTAACATGTTACATCAGTAACATCTTTTTTTGTGGTAAGGCATATAGGAAGCTCTTAAGCCACACAGGAAGAAAGCATCTTGACTAGCTCTCTGAAATAAACAACCAAGAACACCACAGATGAGAGATACTTCAAATTGTATTTGGGTTGTGGGATGTTACTTTGGTATCATAACGGACTTGTGCCAACATATCAGAACTTTCCATTGTCATCAGAGGGACTTTTAACCTTTTTCTTTTTTTTTTTTTAACTGAATCCTAAAACCAAGATTACTCTAGAAAAGGCAATTCATTGAAAAGGCCATTTTTTTAATGGGAACAACAGTAATATAGTCCCTGTTATAGTATCCTGGGTGCAGAGGAGGCTGACCTTTCTTACAGGTTGGCAATATAAAGCTGAGAGCAATGGGAAAAGCCAGGAAAGGAAAACCTTTCTCTTGTTTCAGATTTCTCTGTTAAGATTCTCCTCTAGATTTTCAGTCACTTCAGGACAAAACCCCAGAAAAGAGATGCCAAGAAACAATGAGATCAGAAAGAATGGCTCGTGATGGCTGAAGCACTGAGTTGCTCTGTGGGAAGAGACAGCCCCAGTCACATGAGCTCAGCTATCAAGTCCTGATATCTGTCAGAAAACACTCTGATAGTGTTTTCTGATCCCTTCCCTTGGTATCTACTTGACAATGTCCCTTCCAAGAAGAACAAGCTAGCAGGAGGAGAGGATCAATGAGAGAGTGAGTGGTGTTCTTGCTGATAGTTCAGTGTTTGTATGTGTGTCCATCTGAGGGTGAGTTCTCCTCTTTCTCTGTCACTGCATGAGACAGAGAATAGTGCTGGTTCATGCTCTGACAGGAGCATTGATGAAAAACCAGCGTTTGCCAAATGGAGAAATTATAAAAGCCACCAAAGCAACAACAAAAAAAAGAAGCAGAAGTTAATATCTTCAAATACTGGAGAATAAGAAAAATTTGAGCTTTTTTTAATTTTTAAATGCTAGAGACTCAGATGAAAAGATTGCTTGCAGTTAAAGCACCAAGATGGGATGCAGGTAGCTGACTTCCACCTGCTGAAGAAAGGCTACTTTGTAGAATTGTTAGAATGAGAAAATTCATTGAGATCTGACCTTCAACATACAACCCTTACTTTCTAAATTGCTTTTAAATGTTGTGAACCATTGAATGATAAAAATAATTTCTCATTATGTTTGTCTCATATCTGTGTTACTCTGAGTTTATTAAAATGTCAGGTTTTTTTAACATAGAAAGAATTTCTAGATGAAACTTTATATTAGAACTTTATATTTGAATTTTTTGTAAAGGAAGATGATAACAATGTGTAAATATATTGAATTTCAAATTTCATATTTAGCAGGTATTTTCCTTCTGTGAAAATCAGTGAAAACACTAACTAAATAAATTTTCCAAAGCCTGATCCTGTGTTATTTCCACTTGCTTCAACAACCATCCACCCTTTATTAAGACCAGCCTATAACTTGCAAAGCAGGGTAGTGGGGTAGTTCTTCTGTGAAGAGATATGTACACTTTTTGATGTGCCATGTGTGGTTCATTGTAGTTTTTCTACTTCCTTACAAAAGAAAAAGCATTGTATTTTAGAATAGGTATGCAGTAGCTAATGAAAAGGTTCAGAAAATATGGCTCAGAGCAGCACAATAGCACTCCCTCCCATTTTTATGCAATCAAAACAGACTCACAAAGGACATGCTACTTGGAAAAACAAGCCCTGAGATCAATCAGTTGGTTCTGCTTGTTGCTATGTAAACTTCTTGCTTAATTTTCAGCATCCAGAAGCTTAGAGGATGAACTGACCTTGTACAAACTTAGCCAACCTCAGCAATCTCCCGCCAGATGTGCGCTTCATTATTTAGGTGATACCACACTGTCAGACTCCTTCTGAAATGAAGTGGACATGCCAATGCAGCGTCTGGTCCTCAGATCCTTAGCTCCTGTAAGTAGAAAACACTGTCCAGACGGAGAGCTGATTCCATGTACTCCAGGGAGACTCACGTGGATTTGAAATGTTAATCGATGCAGTTCAGAGCTCTCTAAAAGTTCTGTCCTGAAAGTGGTAGAACTTTAAAACTTCTGAGCTACTTCATGTCTCCATTCTAAATGTGTGTTTATAATGTGTTTCAGAGTTGAGGATTTCAAGTATTTATGTAGGTTTTATAGCCAATAACCCTTAGTTATTTCCATTTTTATACTACACTTTAAATGTATTTGATTTCAGGCTTTGCACATTTATAGTTGCAAGAAATTGTGTGCCATCATATAAATTAGACTTCCACACCTTTCCTTCTGTGTTTTTATTTGGCTTTTTTTAGAATTGTTTGTTTTGGGTTTAGTTTAGGGGATTTCCTGTTATGATTTTGTTTCAAGGAACTGGCATCACTGTCATATTGAACACCTGTGAGACCCCCTCTGTGAGAGGAAAATTGAGCAAGTGAGTCCCCAGGACTCAACATTTCCTCCTTTGTTCAGCAGGTTCAGGCCATAGGGAGGAAAGGCATCACAGAGCTGTGGTCCCCTCATTAAGTGTCCTGGTTAGGACATAACTGGTGCCCAGCTACCCTGGAGATATATGATAGCTACTGAAAGGAAGTGGATGGAGTGATCAGTAAAATTTGAGACTTTCTATTTCCAGAGTGGGCAGTGAAAATGGCACAGCAGGCTCTGGGAGATCCACAAAGCAGTAAAAGTGAGCAGAGGCACCTTGGAGAGCAGCCTGCTCCAAGAAGAGAATAAGCAGAAATAGCTCAGCTGAATCAGTGCAAGCCATGCAATGAATGGATTTCAAAAGAGCAGTTTAAAAAGCGTGCTGACTCTTGCAGAGAGAAAGGGGGACTTGTAACAACACTGATTTTCCACCTAACTTGATGGTTGGTTGTGAGTTTTACTTTCTAAATAAACATGTGCTTGGGGGCAAGAAGATGGCAGTCACCCTCTGAACCCAATGTCTCTTTTTTTTAGGAGACAGCTTAAGAATTTCACACCTCACTTAGTGCCAGATTTAATTTAATATTTTTTTATAAAGATTACTTGCACAGTGTGGAGGCATTTGGTTTAAGCAGGGTCTGAAAGCTTCTGAGCCTTCAGAAGTGTGCAGCAGAGCATGCCAAATTAAGCTGGTTTTCTAAGCACAAGCAGTTTCTTTGATTTTCATTTATTTATTCATGTGTAATTATTTAAAATTACATATGCAGCTAAAAGAAAATTCTCTGAATTCATGGGGAAAAGGACCATTTAAGCTTTACAAGGATGCACAATACTGTGACAGTTAGCTGAATGGGAGTCCTTCCAATGGTGTGAGGGTTATTTTATGCAGTACTTTTGCAGGGGAGGAGTTTACTTCATTAACTGATGATATCTAACGCTTTGAACATTTCATTCTTTGTACATTCAGTATTCTGTTCAGCCATCATGCCAAGCAGCTTTCATTGTAGCCTGCACTCCTGTATATTTTTGTATATCTGAGGGGGGCCTTCAGGTTCCAGATAAAAGATTTGTGTTGTGTAAGGTGTTATACTACCACTGGATAAAACATTCTTTCTTCATGGATCTGCAATCCAAACAGACAAACCAGGAAAGGAGGAAGGAGGTGGGTCGTGTCTGAGATATCTGCTCAACAGGTGAGAGCAGAGAAAGAAATCAAAATTCATGACTGATTATAGCATTCCACACAGTACCAATACTGTCTGCACCCTTGGTGCAAGCCCTTCTTGGTTTTGAAGGAACATCTCCATCCTCTCATCAAAATCTATCACTCTTTTTTCTGTAAGCAAGTAATCATGATATAAGTATACAAGTATAATTTGACCATACTAAGATATGCTCGTGCATATTCGTTAATCAGGTTTATTTTCAAAGCCATGGACAAATTAAACTTAAGCTTCAAAATGGAGCTGGTGTAACATGTTACTACAATGGAGATCCCAGAGAGAGAGAGAGAGGTTTTGCAGTTGGCTCTTAAACCATGTATCCTAGTCCCAAGCAGCTGTGCCAGAGTTGGTTTCAGAATGAGTGACCAAATAGTGTGTGCACTCTAAAACAGATAGAGGTGCTTTGGGTTTCCCTTGGCCCTGGAGAGAGCAGGCCCCCTGGTGTCTCTCAGAGGAGAGGCAGTTGGAAGAGTGTTGACCTCAGTCTTCTGGTTTCTTTTTCCAAGCAAGAAAGAGAATAAAGAGAAATTATCAACAACATTCAGCTTTGTCTCCACTGCTGTTATTGAAGAAATACCTGGTACATCATAATGCTAAAAAGCAGTCTGGAAATACATGGAGAGCAAGGAGGCATGCAGTCAACCCAAGTGACTGATAAAAGGCTGAGTGAGAGCTTTCCCAGAGGCTTCCCATGTCACCTGAGTCAATACTCAGTTTTCATCAGACCACGTTCAGACCTGGTGCGTGTCAGCTGCGAAGGGAAGATCTGTGAGGATGTGGCTGGAGGTACCTGGAGAAGAAGAGAGCACCCAAACCACTTCTCCTTGTGTGTATATATATATCTGGAGGTGAGTCAGCCTACTGGCACGAGGAGAAGGGAGTTGGAAGCACAAGTTACTTGCCTTAATAGCACTGTCAAAAACTTTTAGTTTTCTTTCTTCAAAAGCATTTGAGAACCAGAGAGGACAGCTTAAGAGGAAAGTTGCTCTAATGGAGAGAGATGTGGAGGCAGGCCACTGCACTTTAACTGTATCATTATATCACTGTGGATTATCCCCCATCTGACACACACTCTGAGCTCTTTAAAAATCCAAGCACAAGATGTTTAGTTTAAAATTATTTAACAATATTTTTTCTGTGTTAAGATCCAGTTTTTCCCCAGTGTTGATAAGTCTGGCCTGTGCTGCTGGTGCTGGAATGCATGGAGTAGCTGTATTGTTTTAAGGAAACCTGTTTGATGTATGAGCCAAATACTGGACATTTTGAGACTGTAGTTTGCCCTAGAAATCTTTTTTTTTGCAGTCCATTTTGTTGCAGACCTGTTTAAAACTAGTTCTTTAATACTTATGGAAGCAAAACTCGCATTTTGAACAGGTTAAGGGAATGATTTCAGCCACAGGTTTACTGTTGCAATAGAGACTGAAAGCATCCTCATGTTAATTGATTATTTAGGAGGAAAATTCACCTGCACACAAAAGGAATTAAAACTGTAGTTTTCTTAAAAAAGCTGTCTGAAACAGTGCCAAGTTTTGTCTCTAGAAATATTATTTATCCTGTATTACATGTAGCCAGTTTCCAGGGCTGATCAACCTGGAGCTGCATCAACAAAGGGTAATGCTTATCTCTAGTGAAATTCATCCATTAAGAAATGTATCTCTTAACACCTCAGCAAACAGGTATTTAATAGCACTAAACTGTGCAAAGGCTGTCCCCAGAGCATTAAATTTCACCTTAAATGCATCGTAATCATAAGTATATTTTGAATAACAAGGTAATTGTGCATGAAAACTGTTAATTACTTATGCAAATGGTTTGCTGCACTCTGGATCTGAGAGTTGTCTGGGCTGCTTTTGTTTTGTTTTTTTTATTAAAAAGTATCCTTGTAGTAATTTGTCCTTATTGCCTCTTTTAAAATTCCTTTAACAAAATATCCCAAAATTCTAGTAGTTTTTCATTGTGTATAATGCCCACTTATCAGCTTATTCTAAAGCTTTGTTTCCTATTGAGGCACTTTTACAGCAGTGTTTGATTTGCTTGAATTAAGTTGCACACAGTTCTTAATCGTCTTTGACAGCTAATAGTTTAACTCACTCTGCATTCAGTCCTGTCAGCACATGTGTGGATTGTACCCATGCACCAGCTGTGCAGTTTTCATCAGCAGTGTTAGAAATAGGTGTTACCTGCTAAACAAATAAGGCTGGTGTGGAAGAGACACTAGTGAAAGGCAGAAAGGGGATTGAGAATGTGTTGGTACAAGCAGCATCGCTGTGAAATCTGTCTTAATTGTACATGCAGGATATTCATTGGATGAAAGTTTTAGTCCTAATTAAAAGTGGTATTTCTCTGAACTGTCCAATTTGAAGATGAAAGAGAATTCATTCAGATGTGCACAGAAGGGCTTTGCACATCTCAGTAGTGAATTTTTTTAGTGATGAGAAACTTTGGGCCAGTGTTCAGAGCCCAGCCCTGATCTCAGAGTACCTCTGCTGCAGAGACAGACACCATCACAGGCCTTGTGCAGAGAGCACGTTTAAAATGTTTTTCCTGAGAAGTCAGTGGACTCCAGTTTCTCACTTCCAGGAGCCCCCTGGTGCTGAGAGGGGTGAAGAACTCGTGTGTCCCTGAGTCACAACAGGAATTTTGCAAATTAAAACCACTTTTCTTATGGAAGTCCCAACAATGTTACTTTGCACAGGACAACTCTAAGGAAAATATGCTATTAGGAACATTAATAGTAGATGATGACAGGTGTTGTTTTGTGAAAGATTTCTCAAGTATGTTGCCTTTCCTGCTGCTCTGAACTGCCTGTTCTAAGTCACAGTTGCTGCAGCTGAATCCTCAAATCTGCAGACATAAAATCAGAGCTTCAAAAATTTGTTTGCCATCAAATACATGAAGGAAAGTAATTTAGCAGTCTTCAATGGTCACCAAAAGACAAGTAGCAACCTATTTTTTTCCTCTAAGACTTCTAAGTCTTCTAAGTCTTTCTGTTATTGCAATATTTGTCTGCTTTTTGAGATTGGAATGATTTTGGAGTCACTTAAATGTGACGTCATCCATCAGAAACCAGAGAGAAAGGATAATATTATACATAAACTCTCCCTGTTGTTGCTCTCGGGGAACTCCACGGGTATAATTATGCCACAGAAATAGATTGTACAGTAATACAGAAAACTGGAATAGGGCTAAACAAGAATGACTGACGTGTGTTGTCCCCTGCAAAGAAGAGTTTCCAGGCTGTGTGTCTTTACCTCGTGTGGCATTAGGAGGGATTGGTTGTCTGGGTAAAGAAAAAAAAGTAAAAAGACACTAAGGAAAACTTAAAATATCATTGTATTTGCAGGACATTATCACCAGTGTGTGAGTTTGTATATGTAAAAAAGATTCTTCCTCTATTAGTGTTTTTAGATTTCTCATTAGATAAGGAAGAAAACAGTGCCCAGCGTTTAATCCACCTGAGAACTCACTGGAGTAGTTACTCTCTTCTTTTGGGTATTGACTCCGTTGGCCTCATTCTGCTACACTGTCGATCACCCAGTAGTGCTTTTGTTGGTCTGTCACTCTGCAGAGATCAAAAGCAGTGAGAATCAAGCCTTTTGCAAGCACACGAAAGCTTTACCACCTGGAAAAGCATGTCAGCTTTTTTGATTTATTTGTTCAGAATTTTTCACTTACTGCCTTCTAGGTCAAATGACAAGTATTTGGAGGCAGAGTGTAGCTTCAAAGTCGCATTTTTTTAAGGAACCAAATTATATAGCTCATCTTAGTAGAAAAAAATATTCCTGATCAAGACACTTTACTGCATCATGTTTCTCAAAGGATGAACCTACTGAATCTCTAAGCTGTTTTTCTTCTCTAGCCTGATTCATCTAGCGAAAATGGGGGGAAGGCAAGTACGGTTATCAAGGCCCAAAGGCAGAGGATAAAAGTAGAAAAATTGGCTTGTCTCTTCATGACCCTCTCTTTGGGAAACAGTTTTTGCTTATTCGAAGGAAAAAAAATTATTTTCTTTATTAACTTCTGAACAAGTGTGTAACTCAACACACAAATCTATACTCAGTGACATGTTTTCTTCCTAGCTTTGCTCTAATATTTTTGACAATCCCCATTAAGCCTAATATATCATAACATTTTCTTCTAGAAATCAATTTGCAGAGACAGCTGGCCTGGGCTACTACTTTAGGAAAACATAGATATTTTAAATTTCTTAATGTATTGCCTTAGAAATATCATAATAGATGGGGAAATAGAGAGGTGGAAGTTTTCCTTAGATGAGCATATGCCAGACCCGTTTGCTTTTGAAGAGCTGTGATTGTCAGAGGTCCAAAGTGGGCCAAGTCAAATTAGCACTAATTAGCACTTCAGCAGCATCATTTGTGCTCTAAGTGCTGAATTCACCACAACTTGCTACTGCCTCATCGTGGCAGCCTGTGAATAAATCCTTAAGTACCTAGCAGATGCTCTGATGTTTAGAGTCTATAAACCTTGCCATTAACTAGATAGCATGGTAGTCTACATTTCTGAGAACCTGATATGTTCAAAACGAAAAAAAATATACTTCTTCCTGTTACTAAGGTGAGAGACATGCACTAATACTGAGACAGTGTTTTCATATGCTACAGGGTTAATTACCTTATTTTTGTAAAGCATTGTTCCAAGTTTCTCTAAATTCTATCCAGTATTGCATTATTAATCTGATTTGCAAACTAAAATCTGGAAGATTTATTTATAAGAAAGGGCTTTTTTGCACAGGCATCTGCCTGCACGCTTGCCTAATTCCCCTGTCCCATTTAGAAATCCGAGAGTGAAGGTGGCTGCCTCTGAAACAAATAATGCAGAGGGTCTCTTAACAAAGCAAAGGGCTGCACTTGCTCTTCTCTTGCAAAATTCAGCGGCGCTGCTCCCTGGCTGTGTGAACAGCTGTGGCTGCAGCCCCGAGCAGGCGGCAAAAGAGTGGGTACAGTGGCAGAGAGATGGAGCAGGAGGGAGAAGGCAGCATTTGGTGGAGCAGTTGGGTAGAGATGAATTTAAGGCAAGGGACGGTTGGCAAGAGGTTTTTGAAAATGGTCAAAACATGGAACAGAACTAGAAGTGTGTCCCATGATGCTGACAAGCCAACCGAGAGACTGGCTGGAAAGAGTTGCATGAGGATTCTTAAATACATTTGATTTGAGCAATGTTTCTAATGCTGATGAGACTGGACATGCTTCATAGGACTACTTGAAGCTTGTTTTTATACTTTAATCAAACTAAACCTTCTGACAGCAAGCAAACAAAGGAAGTCTCTCTGCTTCCTCCCTGAAAATGTCCCTCTGAGAGAAACTTTGTTTTTCTCTGACTTAGAAACCCAGTAATGCTCAAATGTGTTCAAAAAAAAACCCAAACAAAAACCAAAACAACTACCAACAAAACCTCCAAACCTTGTTTAATGCATCATCATGAAGAACTGCCTGCATTTTTTTTTAACTGAGTGCCTTATCTAAGGGGATGAAACCTTTTAGTAGTAAAGGAAGAAAATTGCCTTGGAATGGATGATTTCATTGGTCATCCATCTACTGCACTTTAAAATGGTAAATGATCTTTCTGATGTCTCTTCCCACCAAATATCAGTCCTCATTTTCAGGGTTTCTCTCAGGCAATTGTATACATTAGGGGATGCTGCTTTAAAGTAATAAAATATGCTATGAATGTGATGACCCAAAATTAATGTTTAATGCCACAGAAGAAACATATGTTGAATGCTTCTCCCAGGGCTAAGTGGGGTATTTAATCACCAAAGTTTTGGTGTCTGGCCTTTTAAAATACTTGATTGCATACATTCAGGAGTCATGGCCTCCAGAGCATTACACAGAAGTTTGGAAAGGTTGGGTTTGATCACTGCTTATATTGATTTCTTCTGGTATTCACTAAAACTTACAAAAAAATTTAAACAGCACATTTCTGTTTGTATAATCTCTATTATGATAAGTACAGGAAAATGTCTTTTTCTTTCCTCTGGCTTTTAATTGTGAAAATGATATAATGAGAGATTATGATTCAAGAATATATTTTCACTTGTCTTAACTATTAAGAGTTGTGACGTCTGCCTTAGAGTTTGAATTAAAAAAGGCGTTGTTGTCCGGTTTATTATCATTGCTCCTACATTCTTATGCAAGTCATAAAACCATTGTAGCATAAATTCCTTCCATAAATGCTATTTTTAAGTGCTATTAGAGTTGAACACCAGTCATTAAATCCTTCTGAGCAGTAACAACTGGGAGAGTTTAATGGAGCCCCCATCAAAGATGAACATGGAAGAAGATGGAGAGCAGCTTCTGTGCATGCTGCCTGTAGCCTGGAGGGGAACAGAGCAAGGAGAACCTCTATAATTTACTGTGCTTCTCTGTTGTAAGGAAAAAAGAATTAAAACACGTAACCTAAACCAAAGCCCAGTGAAGCCTGTGGGAGGCTTTCTGTTAACTTCAATGTGCACTAGATCTGGTTGATAGATTTCTAAAATATAAAGCATTTCACATGGTGTGTTGAAGAGATTTTTCCATGCAATGGACACACATAATGAGATCTTTCATTCTCTCTTTTTCCCAGATTTGGCCTTGAAGAAAACCCCAGAGCTGGATGTTGCTGAACTTTGGGCAGAGTTAGATTCTGACCTGAATATTGAGGACAGAGTCCTTGTCTATTTTTGTTTGTTTCCACATGTAAGTTCTTTATCCTTTGCTCTTCTGGTCTTTGTTATCTGCAGGGTAAAGGATTCTGAACCAGATACAGATTTGCTCATGGAAATCTGGGCTATGGGGGCAATACCTCTTCTCTGTACCTCATCAACAGACCTTGCTGCTTTCCTCCTGCAGCAAGTCTTGTAGTCACAAGGGTTACCTTTACAGATAAATGCTGGTAAGTGTCTATTTTTCTCAGCAAGAATGCACAAGGTAGAATACCTCATAGAAAGTCAAGATTTGCTTTTCAGTTAGATAAGTGCCTACCAGCACACCATTGTATCCTCCTAGTTGATTTGGTCATCTGTTATTTAGTTTCTAGAGTGCATCTTTGTACAAACCACCTACATATCCCAAGTATCAGAATTTATTTTTTTGTATTAAAGAGCTGGTTTTCTTTTCTCTATGATTCTTGACAATGTTATTCATGGGAGCAACGAGGAATTGTTTTTTCTGTACAAAACAACTCGTTCTTCAGAGAGAAAAGCGTATTGCCCTCTTTGTATCTGGAAAAGAGAAAATCATCCCTTATTTCTCGTCTGGCACTTGGACATTGGCTCCAAAAGTGTTCCAGTTACTTTTTGGACTGGGCATCTATTTTACAGTATTTGGAGTGCTGCAGATTCCAAAGGCCATCTCCTGCTTCTCTATTATATGTACTGCCACAGCTTTTCCCAGAAAAACAATTATCCTTTGCTGGCTTTTAAAATCACTGAGAAGGCTTGAGAAAGAGGAGATGAGACATCAGCTGAGCAACAGATCTCCACCCTTTCTGTTCCTTTTCATCAGAAGATTGGGACAGAGGTGCTATGTGCTACTTGGGAAGGCTACATACTTACTTAGTGAACAAGGGAGTGGACTCTCCTATGTGGGCAGCCTGGGACAGAGAGAGAAGTCATCCTTACCCCCGTCTCAGCAGTATTTGACTGAAGCATTCATTTTGTTGTCCCCAGCCAAGTTCTCAGTTCAGTACCTACAGTCTGAAAGACTGTTGCTGTCCCTAGGGAGTCCAGACAGGAGAGTCAGAGTAAGCCCTGGGACCTGCAGCAGGCTGCCAAGTATCTCCTTCTACTCTTCTACTGTTGGCTCCTTTGCTTTGCTGATAGATATTCTTCATTTTGCTAAGTTTAGGACCTCACTGCATGAAAGAGATGGGGCAAGCAGGGGAAGGTGACTTCGCCATTATTTTGGATAAATCTAAGAGGTCCAAGAACAGATATCGGGTGAGGAGAAGTGCCTGTGTCACCAAAGGGACATTGCTGTGCATTTATGTAAGGTTTGTCTGAAGGTTTCCCTTTGCAGTTGAAGGAATGAGCCATCGAAGCTGCTGTTTCCAGTTCCTGGTTGCCTGTAACAGTTTCAGGTTTCTGTGGTTTGTCCCAGGATCGTGTGGACACCTCACTGGCACACAGGGCAGAGGCAGAGCACCTGTTCCCGCTCAGCTTAATTCCATCAAGTGCTCTCACAGCTGACAAACTCTAAGCAGTACAATGAAGGCCATGACTGTTTGCATTGTAGAGCCCTTTTTGATGTTCAATAGTTCAATATCCCAAATTATTTTAGTGAGTAGGTGTGATGAGAGCTTTATAGAACTGCGAACAGTCCATGAACGTGTCCCTGGGACAGCTCATTTGCCAAACACAGAGCACATGAAATACTCAACTGCTATAACACAGCACAAATATTTACTGAAATCAGTTTTTAGTGTTTACCTTGGAGTGGGAGAGCACATTTTGAGCAATTATTCTCTGTTGTGCCCAGCTATGCAACGCAGAATATATTCAGAACAATCCTGTAGTCAAGCCATGGATATACATATAGATGCTTTAGACAATGAACTAGTTAAAATGTATCCTGTTGTGTTGTGCTGAGCACAGGAGAAATAAAAGGTGTAACTAGGCCCAGGATTCTGTGTCAGAAATGATGTTTAAACACAATGATGACTTTTATATATTCAGCCATAATTAGCAAGATACAGCTCAGAAGGCCCTTGAAGAGTTTACTGTGGCATTTCCAGTGTCTTGTCTAAACAGCAAAGCTGATGTCTTTGGCAAATTCTTGTCAGCAGCTGGTAGCCCCGAATATTTTTGTTGTACAGAAAAGTAGCAAGCTGTTTCTCATGGCACTCAAAGCTGGGGGCTCCTGGGCAGTACTGTCAAGGTCTCTCACAGGAAAAGTGTTTGTGTTTTTCTGCCCTGCTCAAGGCTGTTGTGCCACTGCAGCTTTGGCAACACGCTGCTGCTGCCACCAGAGCAAATCCGTTCTGTGCTCAGAAACAAAGGACTACAGGATGAGATTCCTGTTAGTGTGTGGCACTGGTAAAGCAGTCACATTCTGCTTTTCACCTATTCCTTTAAGCAGTTTTTCAGTTCCTTTGTTTCTTTGAGAGAGATGAGCTGAGGAGGGTGCAGGTGAGAATAGTCCATGGAAAGAAATTTTCAAAGAGGTCACTGCTGTTTCACTGGATGAGGAGGAGCTTAAGGACAGCTGTTCAGGCTTGCTAAAAATGCAGATCTGTAGTAAAAGATAGAGATTCTCAAACATTCATCAAACACTTTATACCAGGGTATGGTGTTTTTCAAATACGTTATTTGCCAACTGGTTTATTTTTCTCTTTTCTCCCCCACTTCAATAGATTTAAAAAAACCCCACCACCTCTGTTTATGTGGAGGGTTTTCTTGAGCATTTTGGGAAGGTGACAAAAAGAGTGTAACAGTACTCATGTGTCTGTGTTCTGGTACCCTTCTATGTGCTTTGGCCTGTTATGAACAACTATGCAATGTTTAGGACAGCAGAAACTGGCTCTGTGTTGTGTGTGTGGGCTCAGCTGCCTGTGTGGTGTGTTACCAGAACAGGGCCTCGTGGGTTTGAAAGCTTGCCAAGTGCACTTAGAAAATTCCTGAGCTTCAACCCCTTTGCTGTCCAAGTTCTTGCTCTTTTATTAAGGGTTAAACACCTGAAATACTTCATTTCACCATGGGTATGATTCACACTTGAGAGGAGATGAGAGTGACCGATGTTTTTTGTGACTGTGCTGTTGAGTTTTGCCTTTCCACCTCAACAAGGATTTCAATGTGGCATCTGAGTAAGTCGAACACCACAGAGGTGTTCAGCCTTCACTTGGTGGCACTCTTTATCACATAAAGCTGTCTGTGGGTGCCTGGAGTCATTTGCTCTGAGAGACCCTTTCATGGATTGAGGAGGCCATGCAAACAATGTCAATGAGATTTAAATGAACCAACAATTCACCTTACTTCTCTGAGTCTCATAACAAATGTCACCCCAACTGTGATCCTGTGTTGGGATATGTTCCTTACATATATTCATTTGCCAGAAGTCTATTTGTAAACAATTCCTATCAAATCAATGTGACAATCCAGGTATGTTTTAATTGTTCCTTCCCCTGTGGCTGTTCATCATTACAAGGCTGAGAAGGCACCATGCAGGGGCCAGCACAGCTGCAGAGTGAAACCAAGAAACTCAGTGTGTTCAAGATGGATGGAAAGCACCATTCATGAAAACTCTTATGATTAAAATTAGAACCGATAGCAACAAGGTTTTTGTTTCAAGAAAGAAAGGAAATAGAAGACAAGGAAAAAAGCAGAGAGAGTATAAAGCCTCCTGCAGAGTGGGCAGAAGAGGAAGATGGTTATAGTGTTTCCAAAATTTAATAACCAGGGACAACAGAAGGAGGTGAGGGATGTGGAAAATCCTGCTCCACTGACGGGACCTGCCACATGCCAGCAGCAGCCTGCAGGGGGCTTAGTGCTCCACAAAGGTATTTGCAAATTCCCTACAATAGTTTTTTTTGCTGCTGAAGCATGTACTTTAAGAATACAACTTTTTCTATATCCAACTGCCACATAACAGTACCAAGTTTTTATGTTGTAGATGTAAATCATAATTCGAATTCAGGTGACTCTTAATGTATGGACTAATTAGAGAGAGGATGGATCTGCAGTATAACAAAGTTCTAATGGGGTCAGGACTGAAATACTACAAAAAAAAAAAGCTATTTTTTTTCCTCTTTGTCTTGGAGCCATTATCTATTTTAATTCCTCTCTATTGAAGTATGAATCATGTGAATCCTACCTTTAATTTGTTTCTTTATCAGTGCTTTGTTGACTTCATAGGCTATACAAAGCACAGCAGGGGAGAGCTGTGAGACTATGTATCAAGCATTATAGTGCATTAGAGTAATCACTTTTCTCTCTAACGCATCAGATGTTGTCATCAAGTTTTATGAGTATAGGTGTTATTTTTCTCAGAATCTCCTGAAACTATTCATCTTAATTAGCAGCAGTATAAGCTTCTTCATAAAGTTGGAATACATCTTATCGTGAAGAAATTTTGTGGTAAATGCACCTGCTTAGTATTTCTAAACAAAGTGATAAAAAAATAAATTCCATAGTTCAGAAAGCTTTCTTTTTGAAATTAATTTGAAACTGTTGGTGTAAGATTAGAAGTTGCAGTATTTTCCTCTCAAGAGATCAGATGGTAAACTCTGCTTTGTGGTTTTCAGTCTGACTGCTCTGTGCTCCTGAGCCCCATCCTTGCTCCTGGCAGACCCCAGTAACTGCTGACACGGTGCCGGTTTGCCGGGTATGCAGGTTGCTGTTGTTGCCTTTGTTCTCCTTGCTGTGATGTGACGTGCTTTTTATCATCCTATGTGAATATGTAGATATTTCTTCTTTTTCCACTTTGGTCCAAAAAAAAAAAAGCCTTTTAGTCGGGGTCAGCAAATGCACCACAATTCCAAAAGACAAACGATTGCAAAGATATAATCCAGCTGTTGATGCCCAATGCTATGAAAAGGTTTCTTAAATGTATGCTCAGTTGTTGCTCACCAAATTTTCAATGCAAAAGAAAATAAGGGCCAAATAGTCCCTGTTCCCTGAGCAGGGCATACTGGTCAGCTGGAGAACCAGTTCACAAGCAGCTCCCAGTAAGCTGGCACTGGTGTTGAGAATGTTGTTCCACACAGTGTTAGTTCTAGTCCCAGTCTTTTGCTCCTGTTTTTTTTTTTCTAAAGGGATTGATGAATAGAAGACCCTGAATGAAGTGGTTTGGCATTTGCTTTCTGATGTGGCAAACAACAAAAAAAAGCACGGCCATAGCGGTGTTCAAGGCCTCCTTATTCATCAGCATCCTTAAAGTAGCTGTGCCCTGTCATTATGAAATGCTGTGGATATTTTTTTCGTCAGTTGCAAAGTGGAATTTGACAAGGAAAATGCTCAAAGGGCGATAAGCAGTAAGAGACATCCTGTACATTTGAATAGAGCACTTATAGATTATTTTTATTATCACCTGTTTTACTGTGGGGTGGTTTACTCTTTAAAACTCTCAGCACTATTCCAAGTTATCCTTGCAAGATTTGCCTTTGGGTGAGCATATCCCCTTCACCTCTAAATTCTTTACAACCTCATGCTGGGTACTGTGAGGCTTCTTGCGTTTAAGAATAAAGGTGTCTTACGGTGCTGATTGTCTGAGACCAGGAGCTGGTTCAGCACTGTGAGGGCCTTGAATATCATCTGCCCTGCTCTGGCTGGGGCCAGGCAGGAGTCAGCAAACCTGCTGACCTTGCCCTCTCATTCATGGATTGTGTCATGCTGGGGGTAGCTCACATGCAGCGTGGCTCTGAGTGTGCAAGGCAGCTTCATGTTGCTGTCTGAACACCCTGTGCTTTCATTTTCTGTTTAAGTGGGAATCCAGCTGAACTAGCATGTTTTTTATATAGATATTGCAACCTTACTCTATGAAAAGATTATTTGAACTCTCAGAGAGCAATGGACATTGAATTATTTCCCCCCCAATGATGTTTTGTTTTCTAGTGTTGGGTTGAGTATGTGAATTTGGGTGTCAAAACATGTATCTCGAGTTCTGAAAAGGTGAGAAAGTGTGTCTGTATATATGCAGTCAGCATCACAGCTTTGTGCAGATTGTCAGTACTCTATATAATGCCTGGCAAGGCAGGTTATAGCAAGTTCTGGCATTTATGGAGAAGCAGTTTGTCCGTTCATATCACTCAGTGCAACAGCTGCATCTGAAATTTGTTGCCCTTTGTTTATAGGCTGATCCTGGTATTTGGAACTCTTAGAGTGTTTCACTGCTCAGGTGTCCAGAATTTAAAACAAAATCAATTATAACTGCCATAGGCAAGGGGGTTTATGGTCATAATGTTCCAATGACAGTGTCAGGGGAAAGCATCAGGAACTTCCAGCAAATATTTATTTGCAGACATTTCTACACAGTCATCTTAAAATAGCAGTAATTGGTACAGGAAAAGCAGATACAGCATGGTCTCTGTCCCTGCAGAAGAGTAACTATATAAATAGGTAATATAATGTTAGAAATAGAAAAATAAGATGTGATACAAAAATGCAAGTCATTTTTTAGATGGAAGATAGTTGGTTTTGCTGCACTGGCTTCTAATGGCAATCTCTTTGCAGGATACTTCAAAAGTGATGGATTGAGGGACACACATAATGACCTGTTCCAGTCAGAAACAGAGACAGCCTCAAAGGGTGTTGCCAATGAGATCTATAGAATGGGACGTGTGAGCGTATACAAGAGCAGTGTTGGTACCATTTTGCATGTATATCTTCCTGTCAAAAAACTTAAAGAAAAAAAAGTCAAGACTGCACATTTTGGAGGATTAATCATCTGAGATTTTTCTTTAATTTATCACCAACAGGAGTAATGTTCACTTTCTGTTTTACAGGGACACCCACATAGACTTTAGAAAGCATAAATAAAATTATGTCCACACAGGCTGTGGGTCTGTGCAGCAGCTGTTCACATGACACTATATTTTATCTGCATACATTTAATCATTTTTTTTCCTAAGCAACTGTCTCAATCTGTCAAAATATTTGTAAATGGATTCAGTTTCCAGTGAAATTTGCTTTCACTAGCACAACAGAGAGACAGGGAAGACTTATACCCAGTGGGAAGAAAAAAAAGCAAAATTGTTTTCCATTGCAGGTTGAACAGCTCAGTCCTAAGGCGTTTGCCTTGATGGCTGTGTGAAGCCAGTACTCTCACTTAGCAGCTACCTCATTTCTGGGCCGAGATGTTTCATTTCATCAGACGGATTTCTCCACAGCTGAACAAGCACAAACAACATGGTAGGTGACAGAGGACAGCTCTGTATTTCAGTAGAGGAGGGACTCACCTGAAAAGAAGGGATATTGGGGATTTTTTCCTATTTTTACCCCTAACACTCTGTGTCCTTCTCTTGTTTTCCTCCTCCATGTAATGTATTAATGCTTCCCTTTTGGTACCTTGGAAACCTCTATAGTCCGAGGGTGTCTGGGGATTTAGTGATAATTTACTACAACTAAACAGATGAGCTGATGACTGCCTCCTGTCAGTTCTGCAGCAGATTCAGTGTCTGTGTTAGCCCAACCTCCTTGTAACTGCCCCTCTGAGTGCACAGTTGTGGGAAGTAGATCACTTAAGCCTCATGGCTTTCCAGATCCATGGCTGTCCTTTTTGTGAGATAACACAGATCCTGATAGACTCATCAGACAGGGAGGAGCAATGTGTCCTGAGAAAATGGTGATGAGGGCAGGCATTATCATGATGCAAAATTGCTTTCCAGAACTCTCCTGGTTTAAAGCACAGGATGTGGGATCCCTTCCCAAAGTGGAAACACAGATAGGCCAACACTGCCCACCGGTATGGTCTCAGTCTTGTCTAACTTCAGCTGCCTGTGGGCTCCCACAGCAGCTTTTGCACCTGCAGTCGTACCAAAGCTGTGCACTTGTAGCTGTAGAAATCCACATGTTTTGATTGCACCCTGAAGGAAATAAGCCTTACAGCTCATATCAATATATTGAACTTTAACTTTGTTGTATAAACCAGAAAATCCTGATGTCAAGTCTATTTTTAAGCCCTAATCTGTAGCAATGAAAGTGAGAGATTGATGTGTTTGCTAAAGCAAGGGGATTTCTATGTGCACAGGACTACCTGAGGCCTTACAGAAGGCTTTGCAGGGGGAAGGAGCTGGTTCACTTAGTTGTGTAACTCGGTGGATGTTTTAGTCTGGGCAGGAGCTGCTTCTAGGGTAACTAGAGCAAAGAACACCCTTTCCTTACACACCAGCAGTACTGAGCATTGACCACACTGTTTTGGCATAGTCTTGAGCCCATCCTTTTTGCCTCTGAATTAGGTTACAGGTAACCAGGTACCTTATTTTCAAAGCAGAAACAGTTAACAGCCACCCTGCCTTGGCTGAGACTGTTGTGTATGCTTCCAGCTGGGACCACTGATGCTCTTGTTGCTTCCAACTGTGGCTTAAGGCAGGCACTGGGACAAGGCTGACCATCTCCTGGCAGAGATAAATGCCTTCCTGTCTTTCCCAGACTTATGCCCCACCATATAAGCAATATAATCTCGCCTAGGCAATATGTGCTTCTTCAGATTGTTGTTCCATCAAAACTCTTTGTCATTTTCTGACAGCCACCAGGAATGTTGAAATCTCATGCATTTCACACCAAAACCATCTGCTGATGTCAGAGCTATGTGCAGGGTCTTCAGTACTAAAGAAAATCAGACCACTGATTATTTTGCTTGTGGCTCCTTTGGCATTCTGGACTTGATACTCAGTGATTAAGTGGCCAGATGTCCTGAAGCTGCTGCATACAGCTGGACAATAAACTGTCTGCTACAGAGAAATAGCAAAGGCCTTCCTCCTTTATTAGGGTAAAACTGACAGTTTTATTGACTGGCTTTTTGCCTTGGTCATATTTACAGTGTTACACTCGACCTATTTAAATCATTTCAGTAGCAAGCTGGATACTCTCTGAAAGCAGTTCTGACTCCAGACTGAAGAATAGGTAGTTGTTTAATGAATGCAATGAACTGTCATATAGCCACATTTTAATATGAAAAATAATTATTCCTCTGTAACAGCTGACAGTTTGTTTTGCTGTGGGCAAAATACAGCTTTGATAAAGTACATTGCCTAAATGAACTCAGCTAGTTTGAGAAACACACTGCAGTAGCAAATCAGTGCTTTTACTACCTGTGTACAATACATGATTTTATGTTTTTATACATAAAAGGATCTACTGCAGATATTATAAACACAAGATAAATAAAAAAACCAACCAAACCAAACACAGCAAAACCCAAAACCAAAACCACAACAAAAAAAACCCAAAGAGCAAAGAGAGCAAAGCCAAGAGCAAGTATCGGTCCACATCAAATTAATCATGTAGTTGATAAATGAAGGATCCCTGCAGCTCCATCTGTGGGGCTGTTTCTCAGGCTCTGGTCTTGTAGGCCACTGCTGCTCTGTAAGACATCAGAAGGACTTCTGTCAAACTGTGGCAAAGAGAAAAAAAGTCTCCTCTTAAAAAGACCCTAAGCATATTCCCACAAATGTAAGCAAGCAAAGTTTGGGTTTGCATGCAAAATTAACAGTGAATGTGTCTTAATTAGTTGTAAATTAAGCTATTGTGACAGCTTGACAGAGAACACAATCCTGGGAGACGAGACACTCCTTTACTTTAAAGACATGACTTAGAAATATTATTCTAGGAAATGCAGCTACACTCTTCTTAATATACCATCCTGGTCTGCTGCCACACTTGTATCTCACCCCTCTCAGCCCCGTAAGATGTTCCAACAGAGGTGCCGGATGTCTTTCTGGGGAGCAAGTGACAGTCTCCCACTTCAGTGTTTACATTGGTGGCCGCACTTAATCAGAATCATACCAGTTTTTTTCCTTTGTTGGTTTTATCCTTTTTCACCACAGCAGAGAAAGCCGGGATTTTAGAACCACTCTGCCGGAAAATGTCACGTAAATATTACCGACCCGCTCGGCCAGCAGGAGCTTTGCAGGGCACGCTGCGGATCGGGCTGCCCCCCATAAAATAAAAAAATAAAAAAATTTGCTTTGCTGTTATTTTGGACGCTCCAGCGAGGAAAGTTCCGTGGGGCTTCTGTGCTGCCGGGGCGAGGCAGCAGATGGTGCTGGTGCTGCAGGAACCGCCGCTCGCTGCCTCTTCATTGACTGGAAAAGAGGTAAAAAGGGGGAGAAAAGGAAGGCATTTCCAGGGACTCATTTCTCTGGCTGTTGATATCGTTTAGGGAAAAAGAAAGTGGTAAATATTAACAAATTCTACTCAAAAATAGCGGACTGTGTGCCCAGCTATTTGACTGAGCGCACCAGCATAAGGCTGTTGCCAATAGTCTCACAAATAACTGAAATTTGATCGTACAGAAGTAGTAGTTGCAGTAAAATAATCGAGATCTGATCGTATAAAAGGAGTAGTTCGATTAAAGGTAGAAAATTGTGAAGCATATTGTATAGAATTGTTAGGAGTGCTATATCTGAAGTATGCAACCACAGATACCTCACTAAGAAGTTACTGGACCATGTATACTGCTTGGAAATCCCCTTATCCTTCTTATCTTGATTTGAGTATCAAGAATTCCAGTCAGTATAGCTAAGTAGAACTAAGCAATGATTGGTTTTGAGTAAAGATATATAACTATGGAACCGATCATTGTAAAGGTTAAATTCAAGAATGGACTTATGTAACAGAAAAGAAGTATAGAAATGAATGGAAGAATGGGCTTATGTAACAGAAAGGTATAAAAATGAATGGGTATTATTGCTAAGTGGAACAAATTTGGAGGAGCGATGCCCCGTGTTCCCAGCAAGCTGAATAAAGAAGTGTCTGCATGTTCACATCAAATTGGTGCTGGATAAGTTTCTTTTGTCCTGTTTGGTGACAAGGCTGTGCTCAAAATGTGCTTTGTTTTCAAACAGCTTAACTAAGTAAAAACCAACAAACAAAGAGCCAAAAGAAAAAAAAACACAAACAAACCCAACCCAATCTAACCAAAAAACCGACAAATAAAAAAAAAAGCCAAACCAAATCGGAACAAACCAACAAACAGCCCAAATCCCCAATCTAAGGTCTGTATGAACATGCTGAAAGACCCAGGAATGTCTCCATCCTCAGCTGACTGGGGGAGTGCTGGAGAAATGTGGAGAAATGATGACAAGCACAGCCAAAGAGGGGTACAAATGAAACAGTTTCAATAGAGAAGACAAATTTGGAAAGAAGAAAAAAAAGTATTGTGACGTATTTGAGTACCCAGATCATGCCAGAAAGCTAAAGGGAAGCGTACAGGTATTGTACAAGAAAGTTTATTTCAGATTCTCTCTCCTGTACTAACAATATAACGTGATCCCATTGTACCTATTATCTCATCCCATCTATTGTTTTGCACAGCCAAATCCTTTTATGTAAGTTGTTATATCTCACCTGACTTCAGTCAGCACTGGCAACATATACCAGCTGTCTCTCCCTGTGCATCCCCCTCTGTTCCTGCCAGTTCTCTAATCTTTTCAGGAAGACCTCCTTTTTTCACCAATTGTTCTGTCTTTCAATTCTGAGACTTATGATGATTTACAATCCTTTCCAGTCTCATAAACTTTGTACTGCTCTTAGTCCTTGTAGTTGCTTTCCAATAGTCAACCTTCCAGTTACCTTAAGATCTCTTACCTGTATTTGTTGGTTCTACTTAGGTACTTAAGCATCTCTCTAATTTAATTCTCTCTATTCTAATATGCAACTTGAAAGAAATACAACTGTTTATAAATAAGCATTGTATGGAACTCTATTGTTGCCTACAGCATGTTGCTGAAAGGGCTCATGAAAAAATTAGAGAAAATTCCACATGATGATCTCATTGATTTTCCTTCTGGCTAGGAAAAACATTTGTTTAGCACAACAAACTTCTTGAACATATTATAGCTTACAAATGGAGTATAACATATATCCACTTGTTTGTCATGTCGAAGGTGATTTATTTCTGGATGACAATAAAAGAATCTCACGTTCAGCTACTTCAGCATTGAAGTTAGCCACATTTTCAGCAGAACTTTGCTGCTATTTGGACACCTCAGTGAGAAAACTACTGTGGGGGACCATTGAGTTCTTTGCTATTTCAGGGTGTCACAATGGTATCTACTATTTAAAAAGTCTGGACCCAAGTGGATGTGTAGTGTTTTTTAAGTAAAAGCTAATAGCTGTTGCTGCTGAGTAAAAGAAAACTCTGTAAACCAGTGCCTCAGGGGAATTGTACAGGATGCATGTGTTGACTGTCTGAGCTGCTATGTATTAGCATAAATCCATGAGTTAAATCATTATTTGTAATTTGAAGTTTGCTGAAAATCTTCTAAAGTGAGACCAGGAAGAAGATGCACAATTATTTTTGTTTTGCATAATGAGCTTGGCTAAGTAGAAGGTCACCTCAAAGTAGAATTTTTCAAGGATACCAACATTTCCTTATCCTATCCTGTGTGTCTGATAAAATGGCTGGGTCTCAAGATGTGTGCTTCACTAATTGAAGGTCATATTAGCATGAAAGGGTCTAGCCTTGGCTGATAGCTACCATTTCAATTTAACATTGGTTTTCTTATAAAGTAGAAATATGTTTCTCCTACAAGAGTTACTCTTCATAATGCAATCTCGTAAAATCTAATGTAGAATGGTATTCATGTCTATCAATTTAATCTTCCCCTTATTTTAAATAATTAGAATGAATGAATAGAAATAAAATCCACATGTAATAGCAAAGAGATAATATCATGTGTATATGAAATATCACTTGACACTGTTTCTACAGTGAATTAAGGCTTTGTTGATCCTAAGCAAAAAAAAAAAAAGAATCAACTGGATTATAACACATAGCTTCAGTGAGGGTTTCCAGGATCTTAGAAATTAATGCAGTGTTCATGAATATGGAAAAGGTTTCCTTGTGGGATTCAGAAATGAGGTGACAGTGCAGCAGCTGGCCAACAAATCCATGTGACTATTGGTACAAGGGTATAAATATCATCCACTGCTGCAAGCACAAGTTAAAGATGTGGCATAGATTAGTTTTTAAGTTGTCTGCTGTGCAAAAGAACTGTTGTCTCAATCAGGAAACACAAAAAATAAAACCTATGGTTTAGGTTTTATTGTGGGGCCAGGGCATTCCTTTGAAGCTTCAGGTGCTGGCTGAGGCAGGACACTTGCCTCAGTGACTCATTACTCCTAATCAGGTCAGTTGTTTCTTACAAAACTAGCATTTACTAGGTACTTTGGTCTCATTTTAGCATTGAGAAGTGTTCTGAAAAAGGGGTATGACTCAGGTTCCTAACAGCTGTAGATTCTATTCAAGTAGGAAGAAGTTACGTGCATTTTAAAAGTATTTAGAGCTAATGAAAAACAAAGTATTTTGAAATTAATATCAGGTGATAAAACCATGATCCTAAATTGAAGTTCTCTGTAACTATGTTAATGCTGTCCAGCATAATTGCCTCGAATTGCCATCTAGATGTTAAAAATATCAGTCACCTCAGATAAGCTGTTATCAGGTGTGCAAATTAGTTTGCACATAAAATAGGTCTTGACAGGTCCCAAAATTAAAACTGCCTGGTTCTCTGTGGCACTATTTAGTCCTACTTCGCCAGAGCCCCCCACCTGAAAGTTGTCTCTTTACTGATTTGGGACATAATGGAGAACTGGATTAATGATAGCTGGGATAGCAGCATGATATAGCATGTTAGGAAGGGGACATATTACAGCTGCCTTTGTCTGAGCATCAGTACGTGACTCTGGGAAGGTTTTGTGCCACGAGCTGGATTTCTTGTAAAAACTTGTCAGAACGATTGGCATTCTTGATCAAGGGGTTTGGGTTTTTTTCTGCATTTGAATGAGAATAAATTATAACAGTATAGTTAGCATTTGTTTAGAGAGAAGAATTTGTAGCCATACTGGAGAACGCTGAGCAAGGAGACAACTCTGAAGGGATGCCTCTCTTTTTCGGAGTAATTGGGCAGCAGGATCCCGAAGCAATTTGTTTCTTATACAATCTTCCTCACAAAACTCTTTGCTGAAATATGTGGATACCTGAGATGTGTCACCCTGAAAAAAATCAGCAGAGGAGTTCCTGAAATTTAATTTTGTACACATCAACACGTTTCTTGATTAGACTTTAAGCTTTCAAAAAAGATGCCAGTGTTTTGCTGCAGTAAAATTAGGACTTAAATCTTCACCCAGTTGCTTTTTCTCACAGCACTGCTCTCTGTGGACAGAAGCAGACAATCTGCACATGCTTTGTTCTCTGTCCACATCCCTGGCACATGGTCAGTGACATTGTATAGACCAAAACATTACTGCAAGCTCTGGTTTCCCAAACGCTGTCATGTCAGAAAAATGGTTGACCAAGCTCAGGTGACTTATTTTTCATAGTTGTTGTGCTTTGTTTTGTTGATGTTGCTTTGTGTTTTTTTAATTATAGGTCAGAGGAAGAAAAGGCTCATTACAATCACAATATATGCCATGCATAAACCCTAATTTACAACTGCGGGGGAACACTGCATTCTGGATTACCTGTCAGTTGTAGACAGCAGCTACCACTTCAGAGTTACAACAAAGGAGAAATGGAAGGCTTCTCTGCTCCCAGGTACTGTTCTATTCTGCAGTGTCATGGTGAAATATTAATTACATTTATCAGAGCAGGATTAAACGTGGAATGAATGATTAATTATTTGGCACTGGGATAGATTAAAGTTCTGTCCGGGGTTTATGTATTCATTAATTACTTGTTAAATTAAAGCGACACCACTTTGGAGGAGGAGCAGCCTTTTCAGCTCTGCTGGTGCAGTGGTTTGTACAATTTATTTGGTGTTCGAAGGTGCTATCTGTAACAAATAATTGTCATGATAATATATTCTACTTCTTAAGCATGATGAAGAAACCTTTAAGTGTGTACTGCACAGTTTGCTTCCTTGCAGGTATTAGCCTTTTATTTTTGTCCTGTATGATGTTTTGAAAGGCCGTTTAAGATTTAATGTAACACATCCTTGATGAATTTTTGCTATCAGAGCAGAAGCAATAGGCTGAAATGGCTTTACTCATGATCCTCAGCAGAGGAACCTGCTACCAGGAGAGCAGATAAGTGTAAGCCCTCCCTGCTGGGTGGTTACCTGCCCAGTACCTCCACTGGTGTGGTCATTCTGTGCCACAGAGGTCACGTATTCTTTAGCAGGACAGGACAGCAGGAGGCTCATATTAACGATAGTGTCTAAAATATGTATCTTAGAGTGTTTCTGAGCTGATAAGATTTTCCAAGAATCTTGGGAAGGCTCCACTTTTGTGTTGATGGCTTTGTGTACATGGAGATGTGTCTTGTGGTATTTTCACTTAACTTTTACTGGGCCAATGTCAAGATTGACCAGTTACTGCAGTTACTTGGATTTGATAGCACTTTATGCATATAGTGGCACAGACTGAAGGCTGCCAACAGGTTCAGCTTTGCCCTGTCCTACTTTCCTTAAGAGTGGGTAGCCATGCTGTTCTTCATCATTATATTAAATAGCTTATAAATATAGCTGATATTAAATAGCTGCTGTGTTGCCCTGAACTGGGGGAGTAGGGGACCTTGTAGTCGTGTGTGCCATTGAACTCTTAGCTGATATTTTGTGAATGATAAAAGCCATCAGGTACCTTCATTGTCTTCTTTGTACAAGGAATTCCTCCTTTCTCCTCAAAAGACCTGTTTTCATGATGTTCAGTATTTAACAAAGGGAGCCAGGACAAGGTTTGCCACTTTGTGACTAAAGGTTTACTAACATAGGTAAATACTTATCCTTCAGCTTTTTGTTTTCTCTGTTCCCATTGCATATTGTTGAAGTGCAGAATCACAAGCTGTAGGGTTTGAGTGTTTATAGGAGTTGCAGAGGTTGATTAAAACCAGATTCTGTCTGGGTCTACGTGGATGTCACAGTGTGAAGAGAAAATAAGACAAGTGGTCAGAAGCCCAGGTACTTCTAGAAATGAAAAATGGGGAAAAAGTGTCAAAATGTATGAACACGTTTGAAAATATTAACCTTCCCCAAGCACCAGCCCCCCCTGCTCCAGAGACCTCAGCTGTTTGGGACATTGCTAGGACCACAGGCAGCAATTGCAATGAGATGGTTATCCCTTCAGGAAAGCCCTACAATTCCAGGACTTGAGAGAAAATATTATGAATGTAGCACTGCTGAGAGATGCTAAAGAACGTGTCACACTGAAGATGTGATATACCACATGGAATCAATAAACAGCCCTCTGACTAACTGGAAACAGTGGTGCAGTTTCTCATTTCTGCCTCATTTAAATAAATCCATTAGTATCAGGAATCAAGTTGTGTGTCCCAGTGGTGCTGTGTCATGAAAGGATATTCACTAACCTAAGTGTAGGGGACACTTTTGGGGGAGCATGCCTTTTCTGCAAAGCACTTCCCAGGTTTTGGAGGCTGCTGGATTTGTGAGTTGTCATATTTATTAGTCAATTCCCATTTTTCACTATTATTATTAAAAATGACAACACCAGTTTTTGTATCCTGGACTGTATTGTACTGGTCTGAGTAATAACATTCTTCATTTTTAAGTCAAGAGCATTTTGTTTATGTACTCTATCCACAGGGGAAAATATACTTCTTCTATTGCTGTAATGCACAAAGGACAGTTAAATCTAATAAGTTAATCTAGACTTCTAGAAACAAAATTAAATTTTCAAATAAAGGCAAAATGACAGCTAAGGCATAAATCTTTTATTTAAAATAAAAAATAAGCTCATTCAAATGCAATCAGAGAAGACAGATGTAGGTAAAAAACAAGTAGAGACAGGATATATGGTGCATAAATTTGCTATGTCTATGTGATAGATCAAACAGGGTGACCTTAAAAATGTTCCTAAAACATCAGCTAAAATATGAAATTTGCATATATTTAAATACTGCTTGTTAATGAAAGATGGACTAGAGAGAATGTTAACACTGAAAGTAAAATATAGCACAGGTGTAAAGTGTATAACAGAAAGGTCACATTAGCTATCAGTGGCTAAAATGTAAATATTTACTAGCTTGAAGCTGGCAGGAAGTTCCATAAATTAGAAACATTATGTTCTACTGTTTAATGTATCTTCTTAGGGAAATATTTAGATGAAAAAAAAAGACCGTGATTCAGCAAAGTTCATAACTAACTAAATGCTTAACGTCAGACATCTTCTTAGATCCAAATTACCTTAATGGGACAACTCACAGGTGCAGTTTTACTAGAGACAAGGGCAGGTCCCTCTGATGAAGCATGCTGGCAAAATCACAGAGGCTGCTATGAAGTTTTGCCTTTGGATTGGTAAAAAGACCTATTTATACTCGGATTTTTCAAGTATTTTTCATTCTCTTTTTCTGGTCCAAGCCTGTGGTAGATGGTTGTGTTTCTAAGTGTCAGATCAGATGGGCATCTGGGAGGTGGCATTTATTTCCTATTCAGGAGAGAAAATGCAGCTTGTCAAGAGGACCTGATATTAAGTCATAAGGAGCTCTTTTGTGTAAATAGTCTCCTTGGACAAAAAACTGCCTGGGGTTTCTTGATTCCTGCTGTCATTCTTTCCTGGAGACCTTTTCCTCTGCCACCCTGTCCTCACAGCAGCATGTAAACCATGCTACTTCCTGGGCTAGGATGTGTTGGGATTGAGTCCCCCCAGGGGTCTGCAGTGAGCCTCCAGCTTTTTCACCATGTCCTCAGAATGGGAATTTCTCCAACTACGTAGGCAATGGCATAAGCACCTCTTGTTCAGCTCCAGTGCCCTTAAAGAGTTTGAGACTGGCCTGTCCATCTGGTCATCCCTAGAAGTACATTGTAATTATCTCCTGGTTCTTAATAAATCTGGGTTTTCTAGAGATTTCCGCTGTAATTGGATCAGCCATTAATGTAGCCCAGATTTCCTACAGTATTCTGCTGAGATTACACCTGTTCCAATATAGTGACCCAGTTAGAGCCAAGATACTTGTGTGTCTATGAAAGAGGAAATCCATTTGTAAAATGTTATAAGTATTTTGATGTACAGTATCACAATAAAAGACATGTATTTAATGTGAAAAGCATTGTCCAGCCCCTGGAAACAGCAGATGGATGTGTCAGTGGCTTTCCACCAATCCAGATATGGATGTAGGTACTGATAGACAGAAGGGGATTTATCTTTTCAATTGCCTTGTGTGATGTTTTGTTCTGCTGTTTTGTTAGCTCATTAATGTTCTTTTGTGGGGGTTTTGTGAATGATTTGCTTTTAAAGTGGTATAATCCTGAAAGGTCTTTTTTGTATTCATTGCTAGGAAAAGTGTAAGTTCTTCAAGCCATTGATTAGTGACAAATGCCATCTTTTGAGAAGTTCTCTTAATCTTTGAGATGTCTGTTTTGAAGGTCACTCCCATTTATTAAAGAATTGCAACTGTACACCTGAATATTTCATGAATTGCTGGTATTTTTAGCTTTTGCAACACTTCTGCATAGGAAACAAGTGAGATAGCAGAAAGATTTTTAAAATAACCCACATATTGACCCATTATTATGTTGTCATTGGTTAAGTTGGATTTTTTTCTGTCACATTTTTATTACATAACACAGGACAAATAAAAATCTGAGGTGGTGTATATGTGCACTGTGGGAATACTGTCTTCACACCGAGTGTCAGCTGTGTGGGGTTGTTCAAGCAGTCCTCATAAACCTCTGGTAACATCTGCAGCATATAGGGTGAAAATACAAACCCAGAGAGCAACAGAAAATAGCCAGGGGGGCTTGCAATAAAACTGTGTAGGTTAATCACTGGATTCCCTTGAATGAGTTGCATGCTACACGTCTCGGGCCCTTTTCTTTGGCCTCAGTTGCTGAGGGATGTCATTCTCTGCATAGGACAGGATTTGGTGCATCATAAAAAGCATGTCTCTCACTGTTTCTTGATGAGGGCTCTTTCTGCATGTGGCAGGAGCCTGTCATTCCATAACAAAGGTCTTAGACTCAGTCTCCACTGATGATTTGTGTTTAGGTGTCTTACATTTGCACTGTCTCACCCCATGGGAACGGGCTGTTGAAGACAAGGTCCCTCACACTGTGGGATCATTAAATCCAGGTCATCTATAAAAGATTTGGTCTGTGAAAGAAACTTTCCTATATGTTGTTGTAATAAAACATGCCTTGGCAGGAGACACTTTTGAAATGCTGCTTGCAGGACTGCATCAGTGTAAAATTTAAAATTTGCCCTGTACTCTCAGCACTCTGAAAGCTTCCAGGATTACAAGTGAACTTTACTCACCTACTGTCTTCTTTAAACTTGAAACTTTTGGCTGCTTTGTAGACCGATTTATGTTACGGAATCATTACAGCTTGCTAATTCAGGGAAATTAGGTTTATTTGTTTACAAGAAGCCTGTTCAAAAAATGATATACTGTTCCAGTGTGGTCTTTCCTATGGTTTAGGCACAGTAGAGTATGTGTATTGGGGCAGCCAAAACACAAGTAGACAATTAGCTTTTCTACCAGAGACTAGTTTTGTTAACATTCCCTTGATTTGACAGCTGGAATAGATGAATGTCATTACTGACCTTTTCGATTTTACAGCTTCTTCACTTCCATAATTCCAACTCCTGCAGCTGCACAATGGAAATGAACTTTAATAATGTTCCCCAAACTCCTGAAAATGCCTTACTTAAGTCACATTTTACAACACTGTAAACAATTGGAACCTTTCATATCGCTGCTTTTAAAACCATAGACTAAATCAATTAGCATTAGCAATTATGTGGTGGACATTTCTCGACTGTTTTGTAGAGCACATCTGAATAATCAGGCATTAGGTATCCACACTTCAATGTGATATATGATGATGGAAAAATTTATTCCTGAGTTTTAATTATTGCTGGAAGATATTCTCTAGGTTCTGCAATTAATGCCTTTCATTTAATGTTATAGGGTCAAATACTATTCACTTTAGTAATGTGAATTATTTTATTGAAGCTAATATAAGTAAATATAAAGAGCAGAAACCAGTTATAGAATGTAAGTTCCAAAGGTGCAATTGTGTAAGCTGTGGTATCCCACTGAAATCGAAGTAATGACAAAATGTTTTTCTAGATGAGACTGCTGTTGTTCTTAATGTAGTTAATCACAGTCTGCATTTTTTTGAATTATGTTCTAGTTAAAAAAAAGAGAGAGAATTAGAGGGGATTCCATCACTATGGAGAATGTGAGGTGAAGTAACTTAAAGCTATTATTACAGTTGGGGGGTTTTGTTTTGGGGTTTTTTTTGTTTGTTTTATATACAAAATAAGACTAGTCCAGATTTGACTATCCAAATCCGGTAAAAGCATAGCTTTCAAAATTGGAAAGCAAGGTGAAATTGTACAGAATGGCAAAGTTAACCTTAGAAACAAGAATCCAAATTGTTAGTGATGTTACTTGATGGACTCTAGGGGTGACTGGGGCCTGTTGGCTGCCATGACTGTGGGGCTTATGGCATTGACCTCTTGCTCTTCCTCCTGCCAGACAGCCTGGTTAAGTCTACAGTGTATTAACCACATTTTAACATATTCTAATAGTCCTTTTGAAAGGCTTATTTCAAAGCTCTCATGTATCTAATGAGTTGAGTCTCTTCTGAGAGTTCAAATATCCTAATGAGATTAACTCATTAAATAACTGCCCATCACTTAGTTGCTGATAATCTGTTTCGTTTGTGGCACTGGAAGAGAGAGCTGCCTCTGAAAATGTTAGCACTGCTTGGAGATGATTTCTCTTTGAATATTTTTAGATTATTACGTTTTCTACCCTAGACAATACAGTTTCATTTTCCCTGTCACACAAATGGATTGGACTGTGCAATAACAGTCTTTCTCCCTTCAGGTTGGTCAGGCAAAGGTGACAGGTTTTGCCACCATGACATTACCTCCTTCTTTAAGGAACAAGACTTAAACTTCCCTGTGACTAATTAGTTGTCTCTCAAGGGATGGATTTGTCAGCACTTACACAAGCAGAATGGCACAGATGCCTTCCACAGATCCCAAGGAAGGAAAAAGTAAAATAATTTCACCTCAAATTTTACAAATTGGCAAAAAAAACCCCACCACAAATAAAATACACATATGAATATTTATAAATCAGTAAAAAACATGGCAGAAAACACAGGATAGCACTAAACCTGTATGCTAGTGTCAAGTGGCAGGAGATGTTGCCTCCTTTTAACAGAGGTGGTCCGAGTCTCATTTCTGCTGCCTTATTTGTGCCCCAGTGATCAGGGACAGCTTAGGAGTGAGTGGCTCACTGGGGAAAGGCCAGAAAGGAGTTTGGTTTTGGAATGCCTCATGCAGGGAGCAGATGAGCCTTGGCGTGGAAACAGGTGGCAGAGGCGCCAGGAAGAAGTCCAGGCAGCGAGACCTGGTTTGGCTGTCGAGTTACGCTGGTTGCTCCAGTTTCAAGACACAAATGTTCTGTCCCTGGACAAAGGACACACATAATGCCAAGCCTGAGATTCCTTTGAGGAGCTGGCTGGCCTTGGATTCCTGGCATGTTTTAGCCTTAACGAGCCTGGGAGTTTCCAAGCAGGATTGCTCTCAGGAGTGCTCAAAAGAAACAAGGAGCTGTTTCTATCACCTTGCACTTACACATGGGTAGTAGCCTGTGTACTCACAGCAGCAGCCTTTGGGAAAATAACAGTGCCAAGCTCTAATCTGAGATGTCCCTATAGCACAACCAGCACATAACCATGTTGGTTTAAGGCACAGTTTGAATGGTCTGAACAAGCTGGGATATTTCTGTCCTGTTAATGAACCCACACTTGCAAACGAGACGTGCTATTATGATGACTGATTAAGACCACACTGATATTGTGATGATACTAGTGTAAAATCAGTAATTTCCTTTATAGCTCTTTAGGATACAAAACAGTTTTACATGCAATGTTTAAAAGACTTAAGATATTTTTCTTACAGGCTATGCTGCTCAGGTGTTTGTCTACACACAGTCTTTCTGGTTGCTTCCAAAGAAAGCTCTGGTTTCTTGATGGTCAGCTGTCCAGGAAACTTGAAGGGTACTCTTTAACATTTTTCAGTGATATGAGATTGTCTTGCTTTTCAGGAGTTATTTTTGGTGGGAAAAGCTCACCAAAATTTATAGTTTTGCAAATAAAATGTGAGGATTTTGACTGTTGGTAAGGGAAAAATATAAATAACACCATTACATTTTTTTCCTGTGTTTAAGCTATTCTGGTATTGGTTAAACCATTTAAAATAAAAATGACTTTTGAATTAGGACAGAAAGTAAGAAGGGAAAGTATTTTGTCTTGTTTTTTTTGAAGCCGTGGTCTCTTATTACTGTCGCCAGTAGAAGGACACAGAAAAATTCTTAATTGTCTTCACAAGGACACAATACATGTTCATCACTAAGGTGAACAATATCTGAACTATTGAACCTACTAAAATAAATCCTTCTTGTGTTTGGTGTGGGGGGGTTTGTTGGCAATGCATTTTGAGCATAGCCCTATGGTTGGTCAAATTTTCCAACATGATATCTTCTATTTAATATATTTCTGAACAGCCTGGGCTGTGACCCTAAGCACAAATATTGGAGCCTAAATTACACGTATCTTTACTTCTTTTGCATTGTAAGATAACGTGTTATACTTCAGAACTGTTCTCCACATTCTTGGAATGAAGAAGTGGAAATATCTCTGTTTCCTAAGGGTGGACCCTGTTTGGGTCCATTCAGATGAAACTGCAGTGAATGTCTGTTTGGATGTAGCACCACTTAGTAAATAAATCAAAACAGAGAGCAGCAACATTCATTGCTCATTTTTGCTTGCTGTAGACTTGTTTTAAAGACAGCAGAAGGAAATGGGAAAGGAAGGGAATTGCCAAAGTCACATCTGTACCTAACTGTGTCTAACATTATCTTTTATGTCAAATCATTATCATACCCAGGAAAAACCCCTGGTGTTTAGTGCCAGCTGTCTGCTGATTCCAGCAAAGGAAGTGGGAGAAGACACCAGGAGCAAGGCAATCATTATAGAGATATGGTACCTCTGTACTATTGACACTTTTAGGTGTTTGCAGTGTCACTGTGGGATAGTGGCAGGAGGCAGCGTGGTGTGGAGCTGGGAAGCACATGGAAATGACTTGGCCACTCAGCTGAGCTGTGACAGCAGTGCTTGCTGCCAGTCCACTTTCCGGGAGGGAAAGGGCAGCAGGAGTGCTCTGGAAGAGCATCCAGCACAGTTGCTCAGGACTGGCCCTGACAGTAGGCATCCTAGTACTGCCTTCTGTTTGCTTCAGTGATGAAATTTGTTGACTCAGAAGTTTGATTAATATTTAATGTGAGAGACAACACGTTGATGCTGATTTAAAAGAAGTGAATGTACACTGTTATCTCTTGTGCTTTTCACAGATATGAATGATGACAGATTTCAATATTACATTCAGAATTACTCTGGGAAAGGACGCGTTCAGTCCAGGATGCTGTCCATGGTGCAGGGTGTGCTCTGGAAATGCAAAATAATAACAGCTTATGTTAGTAGCATAAACCACTGATTACATGTGCTTTGATGTGAAGAACCACACTGCCAATTGAACTTGTAGCTGTAGTCAGGGACTGATTCAACACATGATCATTTTTAGCCAAGTAGTTTCTGAATCATGGGCCTATAATTGCTTCAGATTCCTGGTATTGATCTCTTATGTCAAAATAATTGAACTTTATGGCTGACTTCTGATGCTCATTGAGAAATCATATAATTACTTCCAACCAGCTGTGAGTCAATAGCAGTTGAGTACATACCACTACTCAGAGTGCTTGATATATAAATTTCCTTCTAAATAAACACAAGACCTACAACATATTAATAAATCTAGGAGCCTGGATGCATGGTCCTAAGTTACATAATTACATCACCTAATATTTGTAATACCTGAAATATCTGTTGTGTGTTTGCATATAAAATATACCTACTCCAGCCCCAGCCCTACAAGCTGTGGGACTGCTGTGCCTGCAGAGAGCTGCAGGAGGCTCTGCACCAATGCAGCAGTTTGAGACACTGAGCAGGGATTGAGGTCTTGTTGGCCTGGCAGAAACTCTTCTATTTCCATTTGAAGTTCACACCAGTCTAGAAAATCCTGTCCTGAATATCACTTGCTTTTTTTAGCTTTGCCTTTACTCCTTTGTTTATACCAATGAACTGTCTGGAGCCTTATTTACAAAGCCCTGTATCCAGCACACAGACATCCTTGTTCTCCTTCAGAGAGGGTCTTCAGAGTAGACATACATGTATAGTCTGTTCTTCAAAAAGCTTATACTTCTATGATTTCACAAAAACCTATCATTTCTGTTGACTGCAGGTTGGTGACAAATAAACAGTTGTAATCCTTTTGAACAGGCAGCTTAAAAAAGCTCCCTGATAAGCTGAAACTCTTTTTCCAGAATGGCTTAAGCCGAGAACTTTTGCGCCCCACTGCTGATGGGGAATAGACACACAGAGAGCTGGTAAGGGACTTAGGTGATTAAAAAATGTTTTACTTGAAGTTAATGAAGGCTTCGTGTTGCCTCTTTGAATAGCTTTAGCTGTCAATTTCTACACCAAATCCTACCTGAGAAAGCACATTAGCCTTACTGAGTCTTGTTTCCCATGTAATCACTGTGCTGCTAGTGCTGGTTTTATTCACTCCTGCATTTCTTTAAATATTGTTTTATTAATTCTCTTTCCTTAAGGGGAATGAAGCATTAATCAGCCAGTGCATTTAGTACCTACTTACATTAATATCTAGGCAATGCAGTGATTTAGAATTCTTTACACCTTTTTTACAGGTTTTTCGTTATATTCCTTACTGTCTTGAGGATGCCTTTCCTCATGACACTTTACAATAAACCTTTACAAAATGAATAGCTTTCATTATGAAATCAATGATATTCCCTCTAAACTTCAGGGGCAATGTCAAAGAAAAGCTACTATAATTGCTAATGCTGGGCCGTTTTTTATGACCAAACTCTACTTTCCAGATGTCACAGCAATTCAGTCATCACCTTCCTCAGCACTTTTGCCTTCCCTTGTCACTGTGGTTCTCTTTCTCAAGAAAGTGATTGTCAGCCATGTTTTTTTCTGTTCTTGTGTCTTTACTCTGTTTTCTGTTTGAATCCAACCTTAAACATACCCTTTTAAGCATAAATGGCATGAAGTTTATACTTGTGACTCTGCATAGCAGGATCCTCTGGCCACTACCTCTCCTAAAGCATGATTATAAGAATGAATTTTAATTCTGAAGCACAAAAAGTAGTTATTAAGAATTTAATGTGTTAATTTTAATTGCCTTTTTTTTTTTTCAGGAAGATCTACCATACAGACACAGAATACTACCTGTGACCAGTAGACTCTTCTGAGTACTGTCTTAGGTGTTAGAGATTTTAATTTGAAGTGGGGTTCACAATAGCATTTTTAAGAAGCCAAATCCAGGGTGCTTACTCGGACTAGCCTGGGTGCTTCCTGCTTGCACTGGTTGGGTCCAGATGTGAGCATTCTGCTCAGTTTGATCCTGGTTGGCACATGGAGAGAGTTATGGATCTCTGGGGCCCAGAGGAAATGGCTGGACAGAGAACTTCCTGGGACTGCTGCATCTGCTGTAGACATGTAAGTTCCTCAAAGCTCTGTTCAAGATTCAATTAGGTGCATTGTCTCTTAAGGTGGACCTGCATTCTTTTGTGTTTGTCTATCACAGCAACAGGGAATGTGGACTACTGAGTTTGGTAAAAGCCCTATGAACTAACAGGTAGAAGTACTCAGCAGTTGTTCATTAAAAGCAGATAGTGTGGCTATTCCACTTTTCAAAAGCAGATAGTGTGGCTATTCCACTTTTCAAAATCTTACCAAGGTGCAAAATTGCATCAGCCTGTCTCCGTGTCAGAGACACGGTTTCTTCCCTTTCCGTTTTTTAAGGTAATCCTGGGGTTCAGAAGAAAATGCAATTGAAATCCTAAAAGTTGTCATCATCTTGGTATTCTCTTGATTAAAAAGTTTAATGTGTCTTCCTATTTTTAGTACAGAAATAGACATCTGAGTCACTAATTTATTTGCCTTCTTTGAGGCTGTTGAAATGTAAAAAAGATGAGTTAGCAGCCCCTGGCAGTAGGGGCTATAATGGAGATGTTGACAGGCAGACTTGTAGCAGGATCAGGCTACCAGGCACTACAATTAGATTTCACTCAGGGAAGTTACTTTGGCTTCTTTAAGTAATAGCTGTAGTTAAACAACTCTCTAAAGCCTGTCTCACTACCATACATGTTTAGATGATTGAATTTTTCTCATAATCAGTGTACCATACCAGTGGTTATCCTGATGCTCTGTTTCACTTCAAAGGCATACAGTTGTCTTATCTCATTTCCTGCCTTAATTACTTTAAATGTACTGACAAGAACAACTGACCAATTATTAGTACTTTTTCTCATCTTATCTCATTTGTTATCCGTGATGCTCTTCCGCGTTGTAATTACTTCTCAATTTTTCATGACTCAAAATAGGAGATGTACATAATGAATACAAATAGCAAATTGATTAAATGTAACATGCATTGTAGCACCAGTGAGATTGTCATTTGTTATTAATGAGAGAGATTTGTCAGGTGCTCGTGAAAAGGCTTGTGACGCACAGCAATCCAAACCTAAGAGCTGTAAGGCTGTGGCTGACCTTCAGCAGTTTAATTGTCATTCAGCACAAAAGGAAGCTATGCATGATTTTCAGGATAATTTGATATTTCTCTGTTTTGGTACCATCTTAATTTTTTGGGCTTTAATAGTAGAACTTGCAATTCAGGACAACTAGGTATATTCCAATAAATGGCATGTCCTTGTAAGGCACCAAATTTCAAAGCCAAAGCTGTCCTGTAGGAGCTAAAATACTGATTGTACAAAGCCTTTGCCTGCACTGGTGTGATGAGCAGCACAGAGTCAGGGAGCTCATGCAAGAAACACAGGAACCTGCTGTTCAGATCTCTATGCTGGATTTAACCAGGCACACAAATGTATACCTTTTGCATCCTTACTAATTTACCAGCCATCAAGCAGTGGATTTTTCCAGGGCCTTGTTCAACTGCTCCTGATCAAACTGGTTCATGTTACATAAATAAGTATCCATTGGACTCTGGTCTTCTACATACTGGAGGGAAATATTTACTATTAGAGCTGGTGGCTTTGAGAGACCTCTTCCATACCAACGTCTGACAAGAAGTTTGACAGTCAAAAATCTTTTGTGGAACGAGGAAAGTTTTCTTTATTGTATTCAAGAGAAACAGATCAGAAAGCTCAAAAATGAAAATGTCAATGCAGGAAATTACTTCCCAACCTTGAGCTCTGAGCCTTAAAATCCAAACAGCTGAATCCTTGCCCCCTAGATGCAGCTCCCTAATTTCAGTGTGGATCAACAAAGGGGTTTTTTTTCAGAATCAGAGCCTTGATAATACCTTATTTCATTGTTGATGTACATTGCTTTTTCTGCATTAACTTCAAGAATACTTTGCACCAGGTGAAGGTCTGACTCATGGTCAGTTGGTTTTAGCCATGGACCATACTTAAGTAAAAAAACCATAAAACATTCTTCCTTTCAAATTACAGTGTGGACATCAGTATTATTTACCTGAGTCTAACAAATCAAATGAAGATTAAACCTTGCTATTTAATTCTTTCATCTTCTGCTTTCATAAGTGAATGTAGGGATTTTATGGGCATTATTTAAAACAAAAATTTTGATCATAAAGCCTTTGAAGAACTAAATAAAAACATTATGCAGTTGTTACACACCACAACAAGAAAAGAATCTTTGAAATTTACTGTGAAATTAGAGACTTTATTCTGCATAATTTATACAGTGAGTATTCATAAAAAGGACTACAATTGAAACTCACCTGTCATCGAAAGTAAAAGGATGGAAACAATAGCTAAGGGAGACAGGGAAATAGTGTTATGGATGTTATTTCCTAAATATTTTCTAAGGAACGGTTTCTACCAGTTACTGAGGAAATTAAGGAAAAGTGACAAAGCAACAATCATTTGCAAGTAATAGTTCTTTTTTCTTTTCATTATCTGTGCTGCCTGTCCTCAGATCTCCTGCATTGTTCAGATTTAAAAACATTTCCTGCTGTAATAGACAAGCCAGAGACTTTCCAGCCAGTCCAGGAGGAGAGCTGGGCTCCTGCAGTGCAGCTCTTACCCAGGGCAGTGCTGGTTCTGCTGCTGCAGCTGGTACTGAACAGCCACCTTGGCTGTGTCCACTAATGATGGGTAATTTTGCTGGCTCAGAGCTTGCTTTGATTAAACGTGTGAAAATTGGGCTATAATTTTCAAATAATAAGTTGGACTTCCCCCATTCTGCTTATTTTCTTTTCCTGCCTCCTAACCTCCCCAGAGGGATGGGACTGCTTTTTCTTGCCTTTGGAAACACTTCTGGCTCATCAGGGTTTTCTTCTTTGCCCTGCTGCTGCCAGAGGTTGCCTCAGGAGCGCCTGTTTTATCTCCATAAGGGATGTTATTGCTAAACAAGAGTCCCCTGGGCAGGATTTACACCCTTCCTCTGGAAACACCAGAAGCTTGTGTCAATTCCTGCTCTTTCACACTCATGTCAGCTTGTCAGGGACTATCATTCACTGAAAATTTACAGAGGAAACCTGATAGGATTGGTTTCTTGGTGCTACAAAAAATAAATGTTTAATAATGACAGGATAATACATTTCTACTAAACAGCTGACATTCTGCACCTAAGCACAATGGGCTAACAATTCCCTTTAGGACTGTGCACCCAGTAAAATACTTATGTAACAGGTGGATGGACCAAAGGTACAGTGAACAATGCAGAAGAGGCAACACCTTATGACCAAACTAGCAGAAATCCTTAGTGATTTTCTCACAAAATATGACTACTTGTGAACTCTGAAAGAGTTTCAGGACTCTTGGCCCAGAATTTTTATGTATGTTTGCCCACATCCATTGTGTATTAAAGGTTGTGCCATCTATGAAACTACTATGCCATGTTTCCAGCCCTTGCAGAGATTTCAGGTGCTTGTTCCAGATGTGTTATGAACAGGTGAGTGACTGCTGTAGCCATACACTTCAATAAACTCTCCTTTCATGATAAATCTGGCTAAATTTTGAAACATTATGCTGTTAACGCCTAAGTCCTTAAGTTGTTCCACTGACAGCTGTGGGAGACTTTGTGGAGCAGCAAAATATTGAGCTTTATCTCTCTCTCTCTTCCATTTATTCACCTTCTTTCATGTATAAAGTCATGTGGTTAGGGATTGTTTGACCTGAGGGAGGAACAATGCATTTATACCTTTAAAAGTGTACCTGTTTGAGGTACCTATCAAATCCAGTTTACCCTAGTCTTCCAAAGTATTTCTTGAACATAACCACTTGAACCTGGACTTAGTTCATAATTGGAAAATTTTTAAGGACATTTTTCTTCTCTTGGCCCTTTACACTCTATTTGAATTGATGTAAATAGCAGAAGCAAGCAAAAAATATTTAACGGTCTGATCAAAAGTACTGTTTCTTCACTACTTGTATTTTTACTTCTTTGTTGGATAACTCATGACACCACACAGACCGAGCAGTTCAAGGTAGGTTAGAGCAGAGTTACTCATTTATCCAATTAAATACTGTTCTTCTCTACACCTACAACTGAAAAATCTGTGCCTCTCAGTCAAGCAGGGGTGGACACAAGGCAGTGTTCAGCAGGACTGTTCTCCATCATGGGAGTGGTGACACTGGACTGGTTCACCCTGGAAAAGCAGATGGTACAGCGGGTTGATGCACCTTATACAAGACCTGCTACATTCTCCCTCTGAGCTACTTTCAAACCTGGGGCCTGCAGGCTGAGACTTAAGTTAGCAATGCATCTAATACATGTGCAAACATAAAAGGAATCTTTCCCTGCCTTTCTTCTCAACTTACAGAAATATTCTAATTAGTTATTTCAGGTGGGAGAAGGGGAAGAAATTTGGAGCAGGGCAAATGTGTGACTGTTGACTTTGCAGTAGTTCTGTCAAAAAAATATATTCTACTTTTAATACACACCATTTGGAAAGCAAAGCCCCTTTTAAAATGCTTCAGAACTCATGTCCTTTTTAATTGCCTGGAATTCATGGTGGCTGTGTGAGAAAGCCATAAACATATACAATCATAAAAACACATTTAGACAACCCAAACAGAATCAGTGCCATATTATTTTAGTTTATTATTCCTGGTGGAGTACAGATTGGTCTTCCTACTTTGATATTTATTTATACCAAGGAACTACAAGAACATAAATGCCACTCTTGGGATAATCCTAATGCTGGGGCCGAACAGAATATGCATTGCATCTGTCTCATTTGCAGTAAAATGAAGGAGTGTTTAGGTGTAATCCTGCTAATGAAGGACAAAGTTGAAGGTCAAATGTAGTTTTCAGAATGAATGTGTCACTGTGAAGCTGAGAGAACTGTAATTCTGCATTAAAAAGTTTTCTTAAAATATCAAATAACTAAGATGAGGAAAAGGAAAATGTAGCTCTTTGGTTTTATTATTTCTTTTTCTTTGAAGCCACACAAGAATTGTGCTCGAGACTTTAGTGCTCACATGAAAAATTAATGATGGGTTTTTGCTAGACAGAAAGCCTTCTTATTTTGCACTTGATTAACAAAGAAAACTCAATACAAAAGTGAGATACTCAGCAGGGGGTGGTTCTCTCAGAGTCCAGCTCACAGCTTCACACCACAACATTTATTGACACGGGAAAATACCCACTTTTATCCCAAGACAGTCAAACAGGATATGTGCAGGGCTGTACGTACTGAATAACAAGGAACAGATTCTCCACAAAGGAAAATGTCAACCAAGATAAACAAACAGCCTCACAGCAGGCTGACCCTGCCGTGCCTCTGGGCTGTTTGGAGTCTACTGCAGAGCCAAGTGCAATGTTAGTCTTTTGCTAGTTATTGTCAGGAAGTAGATTATGAGCTGAAAGGCTGGAGGGTGACTTCAGACAGTCTGCCTGTAGCGGAAGAAAAGCCAAGGACATGTAGGCAGTATATAACACATACAAGCCAGGTCTGCACTGCTTACATACCACTGTGATTTGATATTCCTCACCTACAAAGATCTCAGGTTTTTGGGGGAGGGGGGAGAGGGGCCTGGGTACTTTTCCCACAGATCTTTTCCCACAATGTAAAATCACAGAGTAAGCTCACATGACCAACCGAAAGCATCCTGCTTTAACCCTGTCATTCCTGTGTACATCCCTCAATTTTTAAACCTTCTTGTTTTGGTCTAGTCAGCTAACTGTGCATTTTCTGGGATTCAGAAGGGCCATCTGCTACCCACACAGTCAAGAGGAAAGCCAAACAAAAAAGAAGGTATGAATTTTACAACTTATAATGGAATTACAGTGAGCTTTACTTATTTTAAGCTTAAGAAAAGACAGACATCTGTTATTAGCATGTATTTATGATTTGTCCCCAAATACAGGAGACTTCCATAAATCTGTTAAAAATAAAGGTGCACAGTAAAGAGCTGAGTAGGGTTATAAATCTCAGGTCAGCCTTGGGGTTTCAAGTGTGAAGAATGAAGCAGATCACTCTGGACAAACTGGACCAGAAAGCTTTCTTTTCTTTTTTTGTAATACCAGAAAATGTAGAATGACATTCACCCCCACACTCCCTGCCCACCCCCAGCACCCCCCGCCAAATACTGCCATTATGAACTGCAGGCTCTATTTGTATGTAGGTTCCAAAAGGAGTTTTGAAAATACTATGCATAAGTACTCAGTAAAGGTACGGAATTACTCTCAAACAAAAGAACTCTTCCATGTAGAAACCTGTTATTCTTAAAACTTCATTCCCACAGGCAGCAAAGATGAAGGTTTCCCATGCAATCTGGAGTGACTCTTGCTTTTGAAATAAGGCAATCTGGAGAACATTAAAGCTGGTAAGAACTGGTCTTTTGCAGGAGGATGCAAGGCAGGGTGTTTAAGTTATAATTTCTAAACGATAGGGAATCTGTTACTCTATGGATAAGAAGACATGAAGCCACAAATAGCTCACCTGATAACAGCAGTTATGAGCTTTTTTTTGAAAGATTTCATATTTTGTCTGATTTAGTTACGATTTGTTTGCCTGAGCACTTCTTTTGAAGTTATCTACAGTGGTGGCACCAAGGTGCAGTGGCTAGTGTACAATTATAGAACCAGGTTGGCAGACTGATTGAACTGGCTAGCTGCCATTTTCACAGCAACTATATTTTTTTCTTGTGGATTTTAGATCAGATCCCTGCAGGAACAGATTGAGTGGAGTTTTTATATTGTTATTATGAATGTTTTGATATTGCAGTAATGATTTTTTGATATTTGATAATAAAGCCTTGAGATTATAGCAGTGGAAGCCTCAGAGTACCCTTCATAATCTATTGATTTTGTAGGATTTCCATGGTGCTTTTTTTTCTTAGCTGTCATTGGTTGTTCATTTTTTTAATTATTTTTGTGGGGATTTCTCTCACTACTTTTGCCTGCCACACAGTGCTGCTGTGTATGAACTATATACAACCAATGCACTTACATTATCCTGTCAAGTGCTGCTAATCAAATACAAGGCAGCACAGCCCAAGTTTGGTCCTGCATCACTAAACTCAGGGAAAGCTTTACTTCAGCTACACTAAATAAAGGATCAGACCCTATCTGAGAACAGCTGGATGTTTTTGATACAGTGAGGTTATATTCCAGTTTGTAACTAAAAATTTAGACAGCTAGTAGGTTTTAGGACTGAACATAAATTATATCCCTAAATTGTAATCTCTCTAGAACAGGAATGGTATTGCTGTGTGTAATCTGCAAAACATCCTGACTATTTTGGCAGGGAAGGCAGAATTTGATGACAGACTTGTAATTGCAGCTGTGAAGCGCAGAAGTAGAGATGTGCCTGGGAGGGAGAGGTGCCCTGCACTCCTGGGAGCCTCCCACTCATGGGAGCAGCTGGGTCACTGTTGCACCCTTGCCAGCCAAGAAGCTGTCTCTGCTCTGGCTTGTCCAAATTTATCCTCATGCTGCTGAGTGGCTAGTCTTGGTTTGTCCATCAGCTGCTGCCAAGCAGATGGCACTGGCTGTGTTTCCCTCACCTTTGCTCAGCAAAAGCTCTAATTTGTGTGTCCTTCTGCTCCCCAACCAAAAAGTGTCCATGAAGTCTTACAGGCATGTATTTATTCTTGAGACTTACAAAGATTTTTTTACTCTGACTGAGGTTGACTGACAGGCTCAAAGGTTCCTGTAAGGCAATATGACAGAAAAATAAGAACAGACAGACAGACAGTAATGGCATGACCCTCATTTCCTTAGGAAACCAAGCTAAAAATGAAAATGTAACCTCAGACCCTTTGCTGAGGGCTTCCCTTTTGAAAGCCAGGATGAGAACAGATATATTCCAGATCAGAAGAGACATGTGGAGATTACTGTATTCTTGTGACTATATTAAAGGAGCCAAGAAAAGAAAGTAATTGTGAATAACTTTTAAGTCCTCTTAAATCACCATTATTATTAAAATTATTAATAACAATGTTATTGTATTCACTTTTCAAAGGAAAAAATGGTCTCATGGTACAGTTAAAACCAGAGAGGGATACCTGGGGGACAGAATGCAGAGGTGCTCCCCTGCACCTGCTCTCTGCCCAAGGGACAGACTGAGGAGTGGCTGCTGTCCTGTACTGCACTGGGCTGCAAACCATGCAGCAGGTAAAAACTAGTGAAAAAGGAAGCTGGCATCGGTGCCCCTTCCCTAGGGAAGGTATGCATACAGCAGAGAGGTGTTCCATTTCTGTCTCATGTAACAGAAGCTGTGTGCAGCAAGCTCAGGAGAGGAAAGCTCCGTGTCCTACCCAGACTACCCTCACCTACAAATTGTAGTAGCTCACAGGCAGTTTGTAACCATTCAGGTGAGTGTTCTGTATCTGTAGGACTTTTATTGAAGCTCTTCAGTCAATTCACCAGTGACCTTGAGAGATCCTCTCAGATGTGCTGGCAATTGTGTAGTTGATGCATTTCCATACAAGGCACTAAACCCTTACATATTGGAAAAGTCATTTGGTCTGTCAGAACTTGCATGGAAAAATACAAATATTTCATAAGGACAAGTGGGCAGATTATTCTCAGGGTATTGATTCCACATTTTGGTTTGCTGCTAAATAGACCTCCCTACTGGAGAGACTGAGCAACATGGCCATTTCAGGGAGACACTCTGGGGATTTATTGATTGGACATGAGAATACTAATCATGAAATAGCATAGATTGAACATGCTTTTGTGACTACCATTTGCATAAAAAGGTAACACTTCAATATTGGGAAGGCAAGACATTTCAGAACACTAACAGTAGCTGTCTCAGATCGAGTCATATTCCTTTACCAGTTCTTCAGGCTTCTCATTTTCCAGGGTCTAGAGAACTGGGACAACACACATATAATGAATGCTGTCTGTAACAAGTAAGTTATCAAATACATTTGCTATACTGGACAGATACTGAAAATGAAACTCCTATCTCCAGCAAACCTAGAGAGTAATGCTTTCTCTCTCAAACTTACTGGAAAACTGCATTCATTTTGGATTTTGAAATAGCTTTCTGTTTGATTCTTGTAATCAAGAAGTTAATTCAATTAATTTCAATCAATTTTTATAATCAAACACTTTAAACTTTCCTTCCTCTTTACATATTAATTTTGTCAGCTTGAAGTATTCAAAACTCAAAAATGAGGAAGCCCTTAAAATTTTGAGCAAGACTACACTGTTATATAGTTTACTCTATCATATTTGTATATTTTGCTCTTTATCTTTCTGTTGTGTTAGGGGGTGTTTTGTTTGTTGGGTTTGGTTTTTTTTTTTACTTTACTTTTTTAGAGTAGCTCATCAAAGATAGAATGTGCATCTTCTTAGGCACTTGCTAGTCCTCTGCTTTGTCAGTGGACCCCCAGGCATCTCCACTGGCAGCCCCAACAAAAGGATTGCAAGCTATCTGCAGAGGACAGGCAGTTATATAGGCCTAAATGGGCTTGGAGGACTTAAGTCTGTGTATTTTATCTGGCTTGGGGCATTTCTCCCTTGTTGGCCACAGCAGCCACCCTGTGAATTTTCAGAGGTCAAGATGAAGAAAATAGGCACCTAGTTTGAAACCTGGACCCCAACAAACCATTCACTACCTTTTTAGGTTTGTGCTACTGATGTAGGCTAGACCCAACGAAAGGTATAATCTATGCTTCCATGCACAAGTGGATGCAAACTGCACTAATTCAGTGCAGAACCCAGAATCACTGGAGTTTTCTGTGCTGCTGTACATTCGGGTATGTCAAAAGCAACCAGTATGAAGACACTGCACTTTAACTCCTAAAGTGTAGTACAATTTTGTTTATTAAGGTAGAAATCAGAATGGCCCAGACTGAGCTCTTCTACTTTAGGTGCAAATCCCCCTGATTATGGGCTGATGGTATGTTATACCTTGTGCCTGCTGTTCTCAGTTCCCTGCAGATGGGATTCAACAAGGTACCTCAAGCACCAATAACATGAAGTACTTTACTAAATAGGGTCCTGAAAGACATCAGACCCTTAAAAGCCAGTTTGGCCTGCTGAGAGATGAGCAACTTCACATCTGATGAGAGGATCCAAATTGTCAGTTCAGTGGGAGAATCTTTCTATTGTAGGGATGAAAAGCTCAGGGGATCTCACTCATGCTCAGTGGTCTTGTAATTAAATGTTACACACTTGATGAGCATTACATTGCAAGCCTCAAGGCTAATTTACATGTTACCACCAAAATGTCTTATTTTATTTTGCTTGTAAAAATACTGTGCAGGCATCATTGCATGTCATTGCAAATGGTTTGTTATCAATGATGCTTGGGTGACTCAAAATTACTAAAAGCTGTACATAATTACTGCTAAAAAGCCCCATACAGAACCAATAGTACTTGCTCTAAGTAGATATTTTATGACTAAGAAGGCTTTCCTGATGTGACTGACAATGTTAGGATCACAAACAAGTAGCCTCCCAGCAAATAAAGAATAGCATTTTGGGGAAACAAAGTAGTTTGATTCAATTATAGTACTACATGTATCATTAAAGTGTATGTTGCTTTTCTGGGAGTTGTCCATTAAATCAAAACAGGAAGGCAGGGTGGGAGGAAAGAGAGAAAAATGAAAATAGGTAGGAGCTTCTTGTAAGAATGGTGATAGGTATGATGTCAATATAAGATATTTACTGGCATATTTAAAGGCTTTATGTTGTAAAAGTTGCTTTTACTGATTTGGGCCACATGACTCATGCCACTCTTTACACATGATAAGGGAAAGGAGACGAAGCTTCTCAAGACTCTGGGATCCATTTAGCACATACTCCTGTATCAGTTTCTTGGTCAGAGGAGGTCATTCCACAAGAAGCATTTCAATGCACACGTATCAGATGGACTGAACAGCCGTTTCTTACAATTCTCTATTTCTTTTATACTGGACTGACTTCAAAGCAATGCTAAAGCACTGCAATCGTTTATTGGAATATATTAATAATAATAAATTACAGTTTCATTCACTGAATTCCAGTTCTTAGAAGAATAAACAACCTTGTGCAGATGCAGAAGAAAGGCAGAGAAATATTAGATGACTTATCCACAGTCTGCAGCAGGTGAGTGAAAGAATTAGATACAGAACCTCTGGCCTCTGGCCTTTCTTTCAAATAATCTTTCCTGTGTTTGTGCCACAGTAAAATGATTTTGCATATGTCCTGTCTCAGAAATATGAAAAATATATGCAATATGCAAAGCAGCCAATTGGGCTGCCTTTTGGAATATATCATCATTTATGAACGGTGCATCTTGAAGCCTAAACAGATTGTGTGCAATTAATTGCAAACTGTCAAAGAGACTACAGCACTTTACTGCCAATTTGTAAATAAAACCTACTATGCAAAAGGACGGAGGCAAGTGAGGTGAGTTTCTCTGGATAAAGGAAAGGCAATGCACAAATGCAGTGCAACACAATTTTTACACTCCAGCCTTTAAGAATTTTGCTGACCCTGTAAAAAAATGGTGTGGTGCAGAGTCATTGAATGCAGGTAAGCTTCTCCGTGGGTAAATATTTTACATAACCTAAATGAAGAACTCCCAGCTTACTTGATAAAAGAATAAAGAAGTCACCATGTGCAAAAAGAAAAACGTTCTTTTTAGTAAAATCTTGGAAAATACATGAGCATTTTTGTACCCTAAAGATGTGCCGAACAATGGTGATGATGATGTGCAAACAAAGCAGATTCCCTTTACGTCCCGATTATGACCCTCAAATGATCTTTGTTATAAATATACTCATCCTGGTGACTGGCCAATACCTGACTGGATTCCTTATCCGGTGCTGTCTAGCTCCCTTTGTATCACTGCTGTTACCATCCTACAGCTCATTGTTCCCCTCATAATATTCAATAAATACAATATGTTTGGTGCCACTGCTGATCTGCTGAGCCAGTCAGTGGCCAGCCCAGTGACTCAGTCTTGGTCTCAGCTTCAGAAGAAAAATGATGATGCCTGTCTTTCTAGGTTTGAACCCCCCTCCGGTGAACAGCATCACAAATGTGATACAGACCCTCAGTAATTACTGAAACAGCAGTTTGTCACAAGCTGCCTGCAGCACTGATGGACAATCTGCTTGTGGATATAGTTAGAGGAAGGAATATGTAAGAAAATATGATATTTGTGACAGGCTTAACTTGGATTTTTTTTTGTTTCAGGGGATGAAATGTACATGTGGAGGCGGTGTTGATGAAGAACTAGGTACCCATTTTCATTAACAATTCTTCCCACCTCTCTGGTATTTAATATATATACAAAAGTTACTCCAGTGTAAATAAGAATTTGGCTCAAGTAGCAACCACATCTACATGAAATGCAATTAGTATCTCCCCTGAAGTTCACATATATCAGCAGTTTCCAAAACAAGTAGATTTAGCCCTCGAGGAAGAGCAGATCTGCCTACATAGCCCAGTCACCCCTCACACTGGTACCATGGAGGGGGTCTTTGTGTCGCTCAGCAAACAAAAAAATCCCTTCTCTACTCCCCTGAGCCTTGTAACAGCCCAGAGCTTCCTGCAGCATATAGGCACTTCCCTGTGCTCTGTGCATCTGAAAAGAAATGGAAATCTAGAAGTCCTCTTCATGTGAAACAGTTCTCTTTATTCTTTTTCTGCCCTAATCTTGTAGTGCAATTGCAGCTCCAGAAATGACAAAACATCTGAGTCCACCGACGGTGAGGTAAATTCAAGGTTGAGAGATGATGAAAGAAAAAATGGACTCTTAGTCTGATAGGCTTTGGATGGAGCTTTACAGGGAATCAGGACACCAAAGGATGCTGTTGTAGGGGGCAGCTGCCCATGCAGGGGAAACACGGGTCCAGCTGTCTGGAAAATCAGAAATCTAGAATTGAGAGGAGGGAATGCACTGCTTGGCCCCAGCCAAATTAACAATGACTTTTTGTTTCGCAGATTAATATGTTGTTCCAATTAGTCAATTGAAGACATTTTGTCTTCTATGAGATGTATTCTCTCCTCCTCGACTTAAGGCAATTTACTTCCAGGATTTTTTTTTTTTTTTTAACTAGATTGCACTTGGCTCTAGGTACAGGTTTCCTTCAGAAATCTTTGCTGAGTTGATGGCACAAACAGCTATGTTCCTCCAGACTCTATTAACTCAAACTGTCAAAATCTACGTGTCCACCTCCCCTTGTTTGTTATTTTGTTTATTGCAGTGCTGGAGGATTGCTCGCGTTTCACCAGAAAAGGCTCTCCAGTCCGCAGCTCTCGGATTTTCCCTCTCGTGTCACTCAAGCAAACTGCCCTGAGCTTCCCTGCTGCCGAGGTCGGAGCAGAGCCACCGCTGCCCTCTGGCCCCCGCCGGGAGCCCGCACACCAGCACCCGCTCGGAGCCCCGGGGGCACACACACACACAGACACAGACACACACGGACAGACACACACGGACAGACACACACGGACACACAGACACACACACGAGCTGAGCTCCCCAGCGCTGCCGAGAGCCAAATGGGATTTTGCCTGAATGAGTACTGGGGGGTGGGCACTCGTTCAGAGCCACAAACAACTCGTTAAAATACTCGTTAAAATACTTCGGAGTGCTCCGAAGATGGAAATTTGCTATATTATGATTTCAGAAAACAGCAGATGAACACTGGACATAACGACAAGTCCCCCCAGCTCTGAAGAGCTCACTCAAACCCACTGAGCCTTCTGAACAATCCAGCTTCAGATTCATTACATTATTTTGATGCACTGTGATGAATGCAAGAGATCACTATACATTAAAAGCAGAGTTCAGTAACCAGTATGGAACAGTGTCCATATGCTGGCTGACAGCTTTACCCTACAGCTACTGGGCTAGTAGTTTTCAGCCAAAAGTCAGGAGAATTTGGTACTCAGGGTTTTGCCCTCCCATTCCCCTCTCTCTGCCACTGAAGTAATCTGAAGTAATAATTTTCAACTGAATATTTTTAAGTGTTATTTGTATCTGTAGTTGCCAGTAAGAGCTCAGCCCCGTTCCTCTTACCACCACCTCTGCAGATGCTCCTGAAAAGTGGGCAGGAGACCTCCACCACCCCTGGCTATTCCCAGCAGGACTCTGAAGTGTTCCAGCTCTGGTGAGGTACCAGTGTGTGGTGAGGAGCACTGATGCTCTCCTGGGATACCACCATGTATGTTATGCAGTGCTTGTATGTCACTAAGATTTTGGAGGGTAGAATAGAGAGAACCTATTATTTTCTTTAGAAACAGTTTTCCTCCTCTGTCATCCCCCGACATCTACCCCTCACAACAGGCTTGTGGTGCAATAAGCACTTCTCTCCTCTACAAGGGCTCTGCTCCTTTTAGAAAAGGCTTCCAGAAGGATACCGACAGCACTGAAATCCCATTTGGTCTGCTTGGTTTTTACCAGCCCTACTCAACTGCCCTGCAAGAAGAGAGAGGAATATTTTCCCTGCTCTCTGGAGTAAAGTCCTCCATTACCACGTCACAAAAGAAAACAGGCTGCTTGGTAGCTAAGGAAAAATGCTGACTTTAAACCTGAGATAAGGCTCTATCATTTACACTAATGAGCTCACTGGTGGGGAATTTGTAAAATATTACGATAAAAAGTAGCTGTAGTCACTGTTTGATGAAATTTACTGTTCTACTTTTTTGCTGAAAATAGATATAAGTACTAATAATTTTCCCATTCAAACCTAGAGAGAAATAACTGCAGCAAGAATTGTCCCAGTAGAAGTTCAAAGATCTTGTAAGTAATCCATTATTATAAAGATTTATTTTTTAACCATGGGTTGGTCTAAATTCTTCTGGGAAGTCTACAGACTTTAACTGGTTGAATAACAAATAAGTTACTCAGAAGAAGCCCTTAATGAAATATTAACATGTCAGGATTTTAATTGCTGGTAACTTATGGTTATAAGTTAGCCCCCTAGATCTGCTAGTCATCATTATCCTGTCAGATTTTGATTTCTGATGGAAGTGTGCCCTGGGATGCCCAGGATGCCCTGTAATGGTCTCTGTGCCAGGTACCACATATGTCCAATATGTGCAGCAAAAAAGAGAAGGCATTTAATAGCCTTTGTTATCATACAGTGTCAGAGCAATAAATGACAACTGCTAAGGGAATCTCCAAGCTACTGTGGGTTACAAGGACTGGACCATTCTGTTCTGAGCCAGAATAAATGAGTATGGCTGGAGAGAGCAACTCTGCTATAAAACTAGCAAAAATGGAAGAAAGTAAAGGGGTGGGAGTAAGCAAAGAGGAACAAAGACATCTCAGCTAAAGGGCTGGAAAACTCTCTTAGTTTGGCATCCATGTGAGATATGAATGTTTCCAGCATGTTTTTCCTCCCTCTCTGGTTTTTGGGTTTTTTTTGTTTGTTTGTTTGTTTTGTTTGGCTTTGGTTGTTTTTTTAGTCACTGGTTCAACACCTGGAAAAGCTGGCCAGAGATGTAATTCAGTGCATTGTCTTCATTGCCTGTGACCACGCACTGCCGCATGCAGACAAGAAATTAGTCCCAATGAAATATTCCATGTGCTGGTTGTACCCCTGTAGCCTTGTTTTCTGCCTGGGGGTATCTGTGTTTCTGCAGTGCTGTCTCAGCCACCTCATTCTCCTGATGGTTGTGGCTTTAAGTCATCACTTTGATAGCAATTTGGGAAGGGGTGCTGGGGTGTATGATAGACACTAATCCCAGACAAGGAATAGCTGAACAGGAAGCAATGAACATGGTGACTTGGTTGGGGTTTAATGCTGCTGAAAAGGACAAAGGGGAGAAAGCATGTAGCAGACAGGAGAAAAGTGTATGGAATGGATACAAGAGGGAGAGCTGGTTTATGGGCTGTCACCAGTGTGTTTTCCAACCCCGTGAGTCCTGCAAGCACTAGGAATATGACAGACCAACAAAAAGGATCAGTGTGAGACACTATGAGAAGCTTGTCTTGTATGCAACTGATCACAATTACTATAATATTTCAAGAACACATTGCATTTTTTCACAAAAATATTGTCAAATCCAAGGCTACTGTATCTTTGTCTTCATATGGCTCATCACGAGATTTGAATTTTCTGGTACCTAAAAGTTTGTCTGCCTGTCTCCTTTCCTCCATCCTGCCCATCACTTCGTACCCAATATGGAGGTGCTGAAGTGTTGCTGTTGCTGCTTTTTCCCAAGAAGAGCAGCCCCTAGAGGGAAAGATGCACACAGAAAAAGTTCCCCTCAGCACCTCTGGGGCTTCCTCCGTAAGGAAAAAAAAAAATCAGAATTTTACCCAGCATTTGTAAGGTGGCCTGGTTTATCCTTTCAGACAAAGTACATTGAATGAGATTATTTTTAGTATTGCAGTTGCACCGTACACCCTGAAACATAGCCAAAATTAAGGGCCAGGAAAAAAAATCATTGGCTAAATTACACAGAGGAGATTGGATTACCTGTTCAAACAGAGCTCTTAATTCTATGTATAAATAGAATCCACAAATACAAGTGCACTGCAGTAGAAAATAAGGCCAGCCAACAGCCCCTAATAACCCTTAATTATTAGGAGTTTCAGTTAACATTTGGACAGCTTTGGTCTTAATTCTTTTAAGTTTGAAGAGGCAGCATGACCGAGGTGGCCCCATTTACAATTACAGTGAGCACACACGCTGTTCCAGTCCATGCTGGCTTCAGCTGAGTGTTCTCTGGCAGCTTGGGTTGGGATTTTGCCCTGTTAAAATATAATTACCTATCTGAATGGGAACTAATTTCCAGTTTGAGTTATTCACTTGTAACAATGCACTTGTTCTGACAGAAGTCTGTGACAAGAAAAACAAATCAAGCTCCCGACCTTGGCATCATCGCTCACTTAGGAATTTTTTGTACCTGAAAGAAAATCTGCTGATATCCCATGTAAGTAATAAATCACCTCACGTCATCAGTAAATACAGCTGTAAAACAGACATCTCAAGGTAAGACTGAAATCCAATGTTACTTTACAGAAAAAAAAAAAAAAAAAAAAAAAAGCTGAGAGTTCTATACGACATATGAACAATTATGGTTGTATAAACCAGAATGTTTAACAATTGTCTTAAGGATGGTGTTTTCAAATTTCCTTAGCCGTGAGATAATATTCTTTCCCAGGGGGAAAGGTGAAAGCGGCGAAGACTGAGACCTGTTGGAAGAGGGGGTCGCCTAGCTACCACAAGAAGAGACGCAGAGAGCGATGACAAGATCAAGAAATAATAGACGACATTGTGTAAGGAGGAGAATGACACGGGCCAATAATCTAATAACGGTCACCAGTCTCCTATGGTCTCTCTCCTCGCTCTATTTCCGCTCCTCGCTCCCTCTCTATCTATCTCCTCTATTACTCGCCTTCCCTAATCCTACCCCTTATCCTAGGCAACTAGCCCCCTCTCTCTCCGTTCATTCCCTCTCCTATGGTTCTCCCTCCCAACTCTTCCTATTGGGTGGTATCTCTATCTACCTATAATTGGACCTATGGTTGTGTCTCCCCTATGGCGTGTAATATGTATGGGAAATCAGAAGTCAAATACTGTATTGCAGGCAGTCAGTAAAATGCAGCAGGTGACATTTATCCATTTTATCTTAATAAGCTTAATAATTCTGTTATTCTTCAAACTATACAAACTCAAATACATGTGTAGCCCAAGGATGCTTCAAGGTAGATAATCTGATATTAATTTACTGCTACAATCCACACTTTGGTTAAGATTGTGTAACTGTTTCCCCTTTGACCTTCAGTTTGCAACTACCTGTATCCACCAAAAATTTCCACTCCTGATACTTGGGTTTGCCACTATTTTGAACTGCAATAGTCAAATTTTTATTTCAACATTTTATCACAATCTTTTTGAACATTTCAAAACACATGGAAGTTCAGGGAAAACACTAAGCTTATTTTGTTTGATATTGTCTAGCCTGAAGCGAGATCCGAAAGTAAAAATTAGAACTCTTTTTCTGTAGGAAGGACTGCATGATTAATGTTGAGAAGCAATCTGGTTTCATTTGATCAAATAAAATTACAGAACATTTAGATATGAGTACAGGCAAATGCCCACCTGGCAGTTTTTGTCAGGTGCACACCTTGGAAAGCATATGCACTGTCTAGTTGTCCATCTACTGGTGGGTTTTACCCTCAGCAATGCCCTCTTTCTCCTGCAAGCACAAGTGATCATGAGAGAATTCCCTTGGCTGGTGGTGTTCTCCTCCTGGCACCCGAACCAGCCTGTCTGTGCCATTTTCTGTCTTTTGTCTGCTGAGTATGACCTGCACTGGCAGGCACGTGGCACAGCAAGTCTCTGGCCTTTGTCATTCGACAGAGTGTGGAACACCTCAGATAATTTCTGCTGGATGGCACCCTAGCAGTTCATCTGCTCCTGCTGTGCACTCTCTCAGTGAACTCAGTCTGCTCTTTGAGTTACCTTAACTGCTTGCTGTGGAAGCTGAAGGTGACACCATAAGCAAATCACCATAAATACATGCAAACCTCTCTTATAACAGCAAATCAGATGGTTGTAGATAGGCCACAGTGTGGACCAGCAAGAGTTGTTTTGCACTAAATCTCATT